CGAGGAGCATTTAAATTATTTTCAGCTGAATAACAACTATTCTCTTTCTCTACAATTGGTTTGTAGGCCACTCGATTTTGCTTGGAATTTTTAGAATTCTTTGATACAGGCTTGTTGCATTTATAACTTGGTTGACACTTAGCAGTTAAACTCTTCTGTGGTTTTTTCTTCATCTTCTTGGAGCAGATTGGTTTTTCTTGCTTTTTTTCTGTCACACTGGGAAAAGATGTATCTTCATTATTAGTTTTTAGACAAATGGATCTACTCTCTTTTATCATCTTTCTCTCCAATGGATTGAGGTAAGACTTACTAGTATTTTTGTTGTAAAAGGATACAGTAGACACACAAGATTTAAAAGGTGAACCTTGATTTGCTGATGGTAATCTATCTTTTTTAGTTGTTTTGAGCAGACTTGAAGTGAAATGGCCTTGTTGAGAGCAATGCACATTTTCTTCATTACTTTGGCAAATGTATTTCTTAGTAGGTGATGAAAATATATTTTCAGTAAAATCCAAAATTAATTTCTTTGATGGAATGTCAGATAATAGGCTATGAAAAAAAAACAAAGCCCATTGATAAGAACTGTTATTTTGCTTCAATTTTTATGCCAATCTACCGCTAAGTAATAAACAATTCTACCCAATGGTCACACTACAAAACAATGCACCCTCTCCACCAAACATCCATTCACACACATTATTTATTAGTTTTAACAATAGGATTCTCAAATTGTTTTTACTAAACAAAGCATTCAAATATTTTTCAAAATACAGTGTTTGTGAAAACAGTTTACAAAGAAGCTTTGAGATAAGTGAGTGTTTTAAAACCTATTTCAAAGTCCTGGCCATATACAAATTATAGCCCATATACTTTGCTTGAGTGGCTATAAGTCCCCTAAAATGATTAATTCTATGTAATTAGGGCCTGTTCTGTGGGGAGTAATTTATATATAGTATGACATGTAGTAAGTACTAAATAGGATTGCTTATAAACAAGTATCTATTGTATGCAAAATGCTATGTTAAGTATTACATAAGAGAGTAGAAAGGAGCAAGATAATGAAAGATTTGACATATGTTTCAAAGCGACAGAGAAACAGCTCTTTCTCTGATTCCCTGGCAAAAGCATTAAATAATCCTATATAATAAAAGGCTAATATGCAAATCGACCGAACAGTGGAATGACCGGTTGCTATGACACGCAGACCACCAGGGGGCAGATGCTCAATGCAGGAAATGCCCCCTGGTGGTCAATGCGTTCCCACAGGGGGAGCATTGCTCAACCAGGAGCCCTGAGCCAGGCTCACAGCTGGCAAGCGCAGTGGCAGTGGTGGGAGACTCCCACCTCCGTGGCAGTGCTAAGGATGCCCAACTGCTGGCTTAGGCCCACTCCCCACAGAGAGCAGGCCTAAGCCGGTAGTTGGACATCCCCCAATGGCTCCTGACTGCAACAGGGCACAGGCCAGGCTGAGGGACTCCTCGAGTGCCAAATTTTGTGCACCGGACCTCTCGTTAATTATAAAAGCTTACAGTATTTCCAGACTAGAATTAGAATATAAAATATTACTATAGCCACAAGGAGTAGGCCAGTGAAAGGATGGAAATTTTAAGAGAAGGTAAGAAAGCCCAAAGGTGAATTCTTCTCTTCTGAATTTCTACCCATAGGATGAGACTCACCTGTCACAGTTCAAAGAATTCTGCTTCCTTTTCCTTGGAGTAAAAGCTGACATCTTCTTACCTGAACCCCTAAAAGCAACAAGACAATTATATTTACCAAACTCATCCGATGTGCATAAAAACCAGTATACCGAAATTATATCTTAGAAGTCTGAAAAAACTTTCAGATGGGTAATGGTTCAGAGATACAAGAAAAGGATATTTTTAAAGCAAATCACTTTAATAAAGATTTAAACTATATAAAAAAGGAAAGGAAAAACACTACATCACAGTAGCAATTCGAACAGGAAATACAAGCAGGGAAATGACCCTACCAGGAAGGAAGTATTTTTTACCCCATGTCAGGGCACACTTTCTCTTTTAATTAGCCTGATGAACTCATGCCGAGTGTAAACACTTTTCATCTGGACCGCCTTCCTGCCGTTGCCCTCACCCCGCCCCTGCCACTGTTACCCGCTGATGCTGCCCTATGCTTCCACCGCATCATGCTTCCTTGACATTCCATCTAACACGTCTTCTTGTTAATGTAACTGTTTCTCAATAGCCTGTACCCCCAATGACTCGTTTCCCATTTGCATCAGAGTCCAGCAAGAAAACGGGGAAAGCATAATCCTCTCCTATTTTACCAGCCGAGGATCCTTAACCAAGCCCCTCGTTCACTTTTTTATTCTTGTCACCATTTGTTGTTGTCAATCCCCACCCGAGGACATATTTTTTTAGAAAATGAAAGGGAGGTGGGGAGACAGAGAGAAACATCCAAGTGAGAGAGACACATCGCCTGTTGCCTCCCCAACACGCCGCCACCGGGAGGGGACGAGCCAGCAACCAACATGCATGCCCTTGACCGGAACAGAACCCGAGACCTGAGCCCCTGCAGCACGCAGGCCGACGCTCTCAACAGCGAGCGAGCCGGCGAGGGCCGCCAGTTTCCTTTTATAAAACACCCTGACCTTCTAAGGCGGCTGAAAATAAACAATCATGCAACTTAACTCTCGAGCAGATGGCATGTTGCTCAGCGAAAGTTTCCTCTTGCCCTTCCTTCCGGAGCAGGTCTATTTTTTAAAATGACACAAGCGTTATTTCAAAGTTAAACAGAAAGACCAGGGCCTCTGGGAACTAATGTCTAGCTGCGGCTTAAGGGAAGACCCCTGTAAGACTGAATGAGGAAAAGAATGCCTTTCGGGGCAAAAAGACAAGAAAACTCCGGCGGAGGGGAAGGCGGAAACCCGGTGACCTGGAAGTGTGGCGAACCGGTTGGTGGCTTCGGTCTCGAGCCGCGACGCGCCAAGCACAGAGGAAAAGTTCTTTGACTCCTTGACATTCAGCCCCACCACGCTCTATAGAACCTCCAGTCCTCCGCGTTCCACCCCAGCCGCAGCCCTCCGCGGCAATTACCTGCACCTCAGGGCTGCCGAGCTCTCCTCAGCCGAGCCAGATGCTCCGCCACTGTATTCAAATTGTCCCGCGCCAGGCAAGGCTGAAGCTGCTGCATTCTGATTCGCCGCTTCTCGGAGTTTCCAGAAGCTGACTCGGTGATTGGTCGTACTCTAGTTATTGCCCCACCCACTTAAAGGCGGTCTCCAAGATTCTCCCGCCCTTGGGAGGCGAAAGGCTCTCTTCTCCCCGAAAGCCACCCACAATCCCTTGCGGCCACGCCGGGTCCTACGCCTCAGGACTTGTTTAGGTGCATTCTGGGAATTGTAGTTTTTCCGTAAAATAAAGGCGCCCTTTTCAACACCCTTGGTGTAAGATGTTTTTGTGAAGTAGCCTTTTCGATATTCTCGAGGCACTTATATTTCAAATTTGAAGCCTTAGCGTTAAACTTTTTTTTTTATTAGTAATACGTTAGGTTTCTAGCATTTTTTAAAATTTTTCAAGTTAAATTTAAAAAATTAAATCATGGCACTAATATCTGGTATGTGCCAGACATTCTTGCACGCTTTACGTGTTTTATTTTACTTACTTCACATCACAATCTATGAGATATGTATTATCAATCCCATTTTACAGAGGATCTGAAAACAATTACTATTTATAGGATATAACTAGGTTCTTGCTTTGGGGAGCTCGAATGTTCCTAATACAGTCATTGGTTGTTAGCTATTACTTTAATCTTTGTGTTACCAGCTCCTGGTACTGTCTCTGGGACATTTTTAGTTCTAAATAAATTTAACTTAAGATCGATATAAGAGTAATAGCTTTACCGGAGTAAAATCATTACCGAATTATAGCAGGAAGCGATCTGAGGTTCACAGGTTTGGAATTTGCTCCATTTCACAGGTAACAGTTGGTCAATTTTTAAAATATATATATTTTTATTGATTTCAGAGAGGAAGGGCAAGAGAGATATAAACATCATTGATGAGAGAAAATCATTGATTGGCAGCCTCCTGCACATCAAGTTGGCAACCCTGGCATGTGCCCTAACTGGGAATCAAACCCGGGACCCTTCAGTCTGCAGGCCAATACTCTATCCACCCAGTCAAACCGACCTGGGAAGTTGGTGGATCTTAAAGGCAGAACAGTCATAGTCCCAATCCAAGAGGCATATTGCCTATGGGGAATACTAACAACTCACTTGAGTGATATATTCTAACCCTTTCCCCCCATGAACGTATTTAACCCTAGCAAAATAATCTATGAATTAGCTGCTCCACTATATCATCTACATTTTGCAGGTGATGTAAGTGAAGCACAGACTATATCCAAAGGTGTGCCTTACAAGTGGTGGAGCTAGAATGACAATAGTGGAGGAATTTCGGTTCATTCAAAACTTAATGAACTAAGGAAGTGTCAAGTACAGCGATTGGTGGAGTGAACGCCCAGCTGTGAAGAAGGCAGTTTCTGCTCCTCTTGGAGCCCACGTGGGGTCGGGGGATGGGGGTGGGGAAGCAGATAAAACCAATTGATAAGCCTCAGGACTTAACGGACCACTGGGTGAGGGCTCTGAAAATAAAGTCAGCTAATGACATTTTTCTTTTAAGATGGTGGCATTTCAAGAGGGTTGGGGGTCGGTAAAAGAGGGTATAGGGGGGATACACAGTGATGGAGACTTGACTTGGGATGGTGCGCACATAGTACAATATACAGATGATGTATATTATGCAATTATACACCTGAAACCCATATAATTTTATTAACCAGCGTTGCCCCAATACATTCAATTTAAAAGAAGAAGAAGAAAATAAAAGATGTCGTTTCCCGCTATATTTCCCAACCACCAGTTGCCCTGGCACCATTCTCTGGGCCCGGAAGCACCCCAGCCCCGCCCAACGCCCTCCTCCGCGCCAGGATCAAAAATGGCGCCCCGAGCCTGCGTTATGACGCGACCCAACGTCCACCGGAAGTGCGCGCAGAGGCTCCAGGGAACCGGCGGCTTCGGCATCTGGTATCCGGAGCTTCGAGAACTGGGTGGTGCTGCTCCACGCTGGAGTCGCCGCGCCGCCGCGACCATGGTGTTCTACTTCACCAGCAGCGGTGAGTGGGCGCCGCGAGCTCCGGGGCCCCTGCTGCACGGGGTGTTCCCGAAGCCGGGACCCCCGGCCGTCGCGGATCTTGGACCTCGTTGGAAAGCGCCTCCTCCGCGTTGGCTGCCTCTGCCCGCGCCCTCCCGGTCCCCTGTGCTCTTCATCCTTGTGGTCTCCCTCCGAGTGTCCCCTCCTCAGGGCCGGGGGGGCGCGGAGGGACTCCCCCCCACCGCACCCCCTGCGGTCTCCGCACCCGGACTGTTCTCGGGATGACCTCCCGTCATTACCTGGAATTGGGGGCTTCTTTACACCTCATTTCAAGACCCACTACCACCACCACTACCCGTTGCCTTTAGTCTGGCTGTGCCCTGGTCATTATGCACTTTGATTTAAAAAAAATAAATAGGAGGCACTTGCCAGCAACTCTGCCTTATGGCAAGTACGCCCTGACCTTCTAGGAAAGGGTTGCAGGGTCTGGGATACAACGGAGAGCAGTGGAAAGACCCTAGGATGGTAATACAGCCTCTCGCTGGGCAGAACTGATGTCCCAGGCCTTGAAAAGTGACCTATGATGATGTTTCTGATTTGTTGTTGGCATTCAGTGCTGTGTCTAGACTTCGTTTCTCGGCTTATGGGGTTCCCTCTGCTAAAATCAGTGCCCAGTTAACTACTTCACCCTTCAGACAGCTCTGGCTTACCTTTTTCTAATGCCTTTCCCGCCCCAGCTCCCACCCAGGCATTGCTTCGATCTACCTCCTCGGGGTCCCCCTTAGCCCTCCGTGTATGCCTTTGGCATTGTACTTGGGGTATTAAACGCGTCTGCTCAGCTAGAGTGTAAACGCCTGGAAGGCAGGGACAAGATCTCCCTCTCCTGTTTCCCTAGCATAGTCTGTGCCTGGCTCATAATAGTTACTCAGTAGATGGCTTGTTGGGTAAATGAATGTAATCTTTTTACTTAACAATAGCACGCTTTGCTGTTGCGGCTGACTGTGCTTGCTTGTTAAAGGTGAGCTCCATGCTGTTTCTGTGGCCCTCTTTTTTTTTTTAATGGGTACATGGCGTTTTGTACTTTTCTCTTTAGAGATGAGAACATTGAGGTCCAGAGAAGTTGTAACTCACAGACCCAACCTACTCAATTACACTGTCACATCCCATTATTTTTCTCATTACAATAGGTTAGACTTCCACGGTGTGCCATATGCTATTTCTCTGCCCCTGTAGAATTGGTTTGTCGTACCCATATTAAAATCACTACACACAAAATTCAAACTAGCCTGGAAAAAAAATCATTATAGGCCCCTGAGAGCATTTTCAATCCTTCCTCTGTTCTGTTTTGCTCCCTCTGTCATAAGATCACTTGAGCATCTCTTTGGAGCTTCTCCACTCATGAACGTCTCCAACAACACAGATATCTATTCAAGTTCGAAAGGGAATAAAAAGTACAGGCAGGGTATACAGGTACTAAATGTGTTTTTATGCTGGTTACTTTATTCTCCTCAAAGCTATTCTAATTCTTTGAGCACGAGTCATACATATACAGGTGCCCTTAAATAGAACAAGAGTGCTTCAGCAGATTTGTGAATCATATTTTTCTCATTGGCTTCCATTATAATGTCAGAATTGCTTTCTGTTGGAAAAAGATTATAAATAATAAAACTGCCTTTGTGCAGCAAATCTTTTAAAATTGCAGAGTTAATGGAAAAATTATAACTTTTCCCGCGAAAGAGTAAAACTACATATTCCAAACGGGAAGAAAACAACTTGAAATGCAGAATCTTCAGGAAATGACGTCGTATAGACGGCCAAGCTTTTCAACTAAGTGGTTTCCACATAAAACATTTTTTTAAAATGGGGAGAAAATCTCAGTAGAAAGTATTTGTCTTTCCTTTTGTTTTAAGATTGGTATCTCTTACTAAAATCTGTTCAATTCTATTCTTTCATGCTTTCTCATAATGGCATAAGGAAGCATTAGCTTTATTATATTTCCAGTATCAAATTCAAGACCATATGTTTTATGGACCCACAAAATACCTGCACTTTGCTCATTCAGTCCACTTGTACTTTTAGTACCTTTAATAGCATCTGTCTTAGGATAAATTGTTCTGTAAATTATGAAATTATCACAGAGCCTCTAAAGTTGGGTTGGTTGCTACCCCTGAATCAGGTCTCCTCAAGATGATTCGTTCCCATACTAATCAACTCTTTTATTTGAGTGAGAATAATAAAATAATCCAGTTTATTTTTCCTTTATTTCTTTTAACATGGAGAGGAATTTAATTCAGGCTTCTTGCTCAGCAATTATGCTCTTTAATTTTTAATTTTCTGTTTTGACATAATTGCAGTCTTTCAGAAAAGTTACAAGAATAATAAAAGATTTCCTTTTATACTCTTAGATTCCTCAAATTCTTTTTTTTTTTTTTAATATATATTTTATTGATTTTTTACAGAGAGGAAGGGAGAGAGATAGAGAGTTAGAAACATCGATGAGAGAGAATCATCGATCAGCTGCCTCCTGCACATCTCCTACTGGGGATATGCCCGCAACCCAGGTACATGCCCTTGACCGGAATCGAACCTGGGACCTCTCAGTCCGCAGGCCGACGCTCTACCCACTGAGCCAAACCGGTTTCGGCCTCAAATTCTTAACATTTTACCTTTTCTAACCAAGTTCTAACATTTACCTTATCTTAATTTTCCTCTTCCCTTCCCCACCCCCCCACAGACACAGACACGCACAATTTTTTTTTTCCTGAACAGTTTGTTAGTAAGCTGCAATTTACCCTTAAATACTTAAGTATTTTTTTCCTAAATTAAGGGCATTCTCTTATTAAAAGACATTCTTAATTAGGAAGTTAACATTGCAGCAATACTATTATCTAATCAGCCTTTACTAAGTTTTCATCAGTGTCCTAATGTATTTATAAAAAAGGGAAATTACAAATCATTGCCGCACGCAGTTGTCATTCATTACTCTTTAGTCTCTTCTAATCTGGAGCATGTGCTCAGTCTCTGTCTTTCATGACACTGTTAGTTGAATTGTTTTGTAAAGTGCCCCTCAGTTTGGGTACTAGCAGTTATGTTCTTAATCATCTCATTTTATAGGGCAACCATCCAGACAATCATCTGTCATTCTCTTGGCTTAAGTTAGATAGCTTGGCCAACACAAAGACAGCTTTATTTTATTTTAATCATTTTTAAAATTAATTTTGTTCTGATTGCAAAAACCATCTGTATATTCTCTGAGCAAACTAAGGTAACTATTGCTAAGCTGTATATCCTTCCGTACATATAAAGAAAATGGGTGTATATATTAAAAATAGATATTTAAATATGTATATGCATACTCAACTACATATTTTTTACCAATTGAATATTACTGTATATAGAGAGACAAAAATACTGTGGCCCTCTCTTTTTAATGGGTACATGGCATTTTTTTTTAACGGATGTACTATAATGTGTTTAACCAGTCTTAATTAGTGTTTCAGTTGTAAAAAGAACATCATTGCTTGATGGAGTATTTAATTAGAGTGGGGCCTTGACTTACGAGTTTAATTTGTTCTGAGACCAAGCTCGTTAAGGAGCTCGTTAACTCAAATTACTCTGTCAACTCAAAGCTAAAAATCCGCTAAGAGACAGCTGGTATCTCAAAAAACTTGTTAGTTGGGACACTAGTAAGTCAAGGCCCCACTGTAGTAGGATATATTCCAAGCGGTGACATTATAGGATCAACAAGGTACACACATATAATATTGCCAGGTTGTGCAGAGAAACTCAAACACTTTTTAGTTTTATTCCTGTACTTTTGGCATTTGCTATATGCCATACTAAGGCCTTATCAAGCTAATATAGTGCTCAGTTGTAGATAAGTACTGTATTTCTGTTACCTAATCAATTCAAACATTCTCTCCTTTCAAGATATTTCTCTCAATTACTTTCAAGTAACTATGGATTGTAGTCATTATAACTGCTAATTGAAGGAATTGGGAGTTTTCTCTCCCCAGGAGAGGCAACCACGATTGATGACTTAAGGAGTGTTTCATTACTAAAAGTACAGGTAATCCTGAATTTTAGAATTTACAATGAAAGAATGCTGCTCTTTGGCCTTTAGAGCTCCACTTGCATGTGGTAGTTCTGTGTTCTCGAGTGACAGCCAACAGACTGCCTAGCCCAACCTTGCCACGTGTGTGTCAGGCTTTGTAGACTGAGAACCCAGTAACTGTTCATTGAGTTTAGACCCAAATGGGGTCAAATAAATTTTGGTAGACTAGCTTGGAAACCCAGTATCCAGTTAGGATTTCAATTAGAAAACTTAACTTTTTGTTTTACTCCAAATGGAGGATGCCCTCCTTAAACACTAGCTCAGCAAAATAAATGTCATTCCTAAGGTAAGCCATACCTGGATATTTGGTTTGATTTAGGATAATGGTTCCTAATGCTGATTTCACACTAGAATCACTTGGAGATCTTTAAAAAACAAACAAAAACAGTGCCTTCCCCCAGAGATTAGGATTTGGTTAGTCTTAGGTGGAGCTGAGGCATCATTAGGTGATTCTAATATGTGATCAGAATTCAGAGTAACATTTCATGACTTTTACAATGTCACTTTCACAAGTTTAAGAGACATGTTTCTTCCTAGTGGGACAGGGAGCCCATTATAATTTGTGGCACACCTGAAATATAATTTAATATTAGCTAACTAGAATTATGAAAAATAAAACTTGGCTAAGTATAGGAACCTATATAAGTGATTGGGGTGATGATATTGTATTATGTTTTTTTTGTTTTTAATTCTTTTGAAGAAGTCAAAAGCAAAGAACTGAACTAAAATTGCATTGAACTCTATTAAGGAAAGTAGCTATCCTATATAATAAAAGTCTACTATGCTAAGTGTCCGGTCATCCATTCAATCAATCAAAGCGTAGTATGCTAATGATATGCTAAGGCCACTCAACCACTTGCTGTGATGTGAACTGACCACTAGGGGGCAGACGGTTGACTGGTCGACCAGTCACTATGATGAGCACTGACTACCAGGGGGTAGATGCTCCGATTGGTAGGTTAGCTTGCTGCTGGGGTTTGGCTGATTGGGACTGAGCCAGATGGGCAGGACATTCCCTGCAACCCTCCCATGGTCCCTCCCTGACCCCTATTGTACACCGGTGGGCTCCCTTGGTCTTGCCTGCGCCCTCCCAATCTGGGACCCCTCAGGGAATGTCGGAGAGCTGGTTTTGGCCCAATCCTGCAGGGCAGGCCAAGGGACCCCACTGGAGCATGAATTTGTGTACCGGGCCTCTAGTTTTTAATAAGGGTCAGTAAACTTTCTGTTTGGGCCAAATAGTAAATATTTTAGACTTTGTGTGCCACATATCTATAACTTGTTCTTTCTTGTTTTGCTTTTTTCAACCTGCTGAAACATAAAAATCATTCTTAGCTTGAGGGCTATCTAAAAACAGGGCTGGATTTGGCCTATGGGCCATGTTTTTTGCCAACCCCAAATCTAAGCATTTGTCACTTGTTTTTCCCATGAAACACTTTTGGTGATGAAGTTATCTAACCACTTTTTATTTTTGTTTTGTCTTAGTTAACTCATCTGCTTACACTATTTACATGGGAAAGGATAAATATGAAAGTAAGTTTTCAAAAGCATTTGATTTTGAAATTTCCAGAAGGTAAGTGTTAATTGCTTTTCCCCAATGGTTTGTTGGATATGAGTTTTCAACTACTACTAACCCATTATAAAGAACTCTCAGGGATTAACCTTCCTAAAATTTAGTTATATTAGATAATATTTAAGCTAATTAGACCACCTTTTTGCTCAATAGAAACTTTACAAAGAGTTTTGATTTAGGTTGATATGACTCAGAGGTTAACCTTTGCTAGTTTAGATTAAATAAAAATAATCTGTGACTTGGACTTTGAAAAGATCATTTTCTGCACATTTTTACCACATTTAAGGTTAGTGGAAATCTATCTGTTGGTTTTCTGAGGCTGAAGATGGCTTTTCTTTAACTGTATTTTTATTGTTAAGAGTTAGAGATGTCCCCATTTTCTCCCCCTTTGCCCACCTTCACCCAGGCCCTATCCCCCGAAGATGGCTCTTAAGTCATGAAATGTTAACAGTTTTTATCTAACTTGGTTGACCATTCTTTTCAGAATCAAATACATTATTTCATACCATACACAATCATATAACTAAATGGTGTACACACTTACGTAACTGAAACAAAAATTTACAAAAAATATCCATATCATTTGCTGTGCCCTCTAATTTCAGTTTTTTTATGTTCTAAAAGCTACACTCAGCCTGTTAGATTATTTTTTTGACTCACTCATGAATTTGAACTAAAATCTTAAAAAGAAAAACATTGCCTGAGGGGATAACCTTCTTGACTGCAGGAGGGAGATGAAAGTGAAATTTAGCTTTCTTGACCCAGAGAGCAGTGAATCCACAGCACTGACCCTCAGGGTACAGGACACAGAAGTGAGGGAGAAAAGAAAGGCAATAAGAGCTCCAGAGAAAAATGCCAGAATCACTCTTCTTTAGGCTTAAAGAACACAGCTGCTTATCTCTCAGGGTAGTGTGATTTGGAAAAGATAGCTCTTAAATCAAGCCAATTTGGGTTACAATTCCAGTGTTCTAGCAAACTAGCTATAGTTACTTAACCGCTTTGAACCTCAGATTTGTTAGCTGTAAGAAGATGATCAAGGGATGGTATCTACCTTGCAGGGTTGTGAGGATTAATGAAAGAGCCTGAGTAAAGTATCTGAGCCACAGTGGGCACTCAGTAAGTAGCAGTTGCCATCGCTGGAGCTTCTTTAGTTCCTCAAAGCTGCCTCCTCCCTCCACGGGGACGCTCAGGGATGGTGGCTTTTCTTAGCAGTCTGAGAGCTGGCTAACTCACTACAATCCCCTTTCTTTAACCTCCAGGCATTGCTTTCTGTTTCCTTTCTAAAACCATCAGTGTCTGTTCTAGGTGCAGTTTGAAACTGACAACAGTTTAAACTTGATCCTTTAAAAGAGGCAAGTATAACATTCTTCAGTATGAGACATTTTACATTAATGAAATAAATAAGGCCAGAAATTAAAAGATGTCAAAGAGCAGTGATGTAACTATATACAGGGTATCCCCCCAAAATGTATACACACTTTTCTGGGATAGCTCAATTAATGTATCTTTTCAGATTTAACCCATTGGAATTAATAATTATTCAAAGTGTGTATGCATTTTTGGGGGACCCTGTAGTTAGTATATGTATATTTATTTATATTTAAAATATGACATGTGTATAATATATAGCATATATGATATATAATGTGATAGGTAATTGTTATATAAATCTAGTTATAAATCAGATCTATATAAACAGTTTAGAACTTTGCTATAATACTGGTTGCTATAAAGCAGAATCAGTATAAAGCAAGACTGTCACATCCTAGCCAAGAGAAAAAAGCAAAACAGAATAATGTAACTCATTTATAAACAGTTTTTCTTTATAATGAATTTATGACATTGACTCTGGGTGTGACTTAATGGAGAAGCTGTTTGCAATACAGTCAAATCTCGGTTCTCAAATGTCTTCCATTTGGAACGATTCTGTTCTTGACCAAGTTGTTCCCAGAAAAATGTCTCGGTTGTCAAACAAAACTTCGGTTCTTGACCTGAGAACCCTTTCATGCTGATACCTGTATGATCAGTCATCTCTCAGGTGACAAAGGAGAAAATGCATGAGTATGGGTCAGTTTACTGTTAAACCTCACATTGTTAACATCTCAGGAAATTGTACAGTGAATATTTTGGTGTGTTTTGCTTTTGTTGCTAGAATGGATTAATTTAACTTACATTATTTCTAATGGGGAAAAATGATTTGGTTTTCTATCAAATCGATTTTTGAACAGCCTTCCAGAACAAATTAAATTCAGGAACCAAAGTTCCACTGTATATCAATTCTAGAGTTTATATTTCTCCTAGCAACCCATAAATTGTCATTGGTCATTTGTGTCTTTTTTCATAGCATCCTCCTGATGAATGTAAGCTGAAGAGGGCATGCTACCTTCCTGTATTACATAGAAATAAGACACAGTTATAAGAGCCATGGTTATAGCTACAGTAGCTATGGGTCCAAACCTGACCAAATCTACTTTTCTTTCTGTTAGCCAGTGTGCAATCCCAAGACTGAGGTTACTGAGAAGCACCTAAAGCAGAGCTGCTAGGTGTGGCTGTGCAGGTTTGCACTGCAGTTCGGGGCTGGGACGGGGCGAATCTCTTAGAATGAAGAGCTGCCTTGGTTCTGGCTCCCACTGATGGGCTGCCTGTGGTGCTGACTGACCTGAAGAAGCTGTGCCAGTAACATTCCCCACGTCTCTTATTCCTCCCATTTTAGTTTACTCTCTGCTGTGTCTATTTGTGTCAGCCTCTGTGAGTATCCAAAGAGGAAGATTTAGTCTGTGTCTTCATAGTATTCAGGTAGAGGCACATACTAAAACAAGTATGGGTCAGTTTTGCTGTGAACTTCAAAATGCTTAAAAAAATAAAAAAAGTCTATGAAAAAGTATGGGCAAAATACATTAATAGCAAATACTGTCGAAGTGGAGGGGGCAGAGAGTAAATGTGAGTTGGGCCAACTGAGAAAGCTTTATGGAGGAGTAGATTAGGATGGGTTAGATTGTGGAAGCCTTTATTTAGCCTGTTTTCTTTGGTGTGGAATCCTTTAAATGTCCTTTAGAGGAATTTAAATACAGAAATAGAAATCTGGATATAGAATTTATGTCTACTTATGTAAATTTAGATTCTGTCTAGAGTCCACTGGAGTGATGTTTACTGTCACTAAAATATATGTAGGAAAAAAAATCTACGTATGTATAGAACACTTTCCCCCCAAAAATTCATGGAGTCATTTGGAGGCATCAACTTTTCTAGTCTGCTTTGTAAGAAAGGTGTAATATATATACATTGCAGCGCAGAAAAGCAGTGGAAGCATAGAGTCAAATTTCTTATAAAAAATTTTTATTATTTTGATTATTTTTTTTTTGAGAGAGGGAGGGAGAAAGAAACATTGATGTGAGAGAGAAACATTGATTGGCTACCTCCTGCATGCCACCTCCCCACCCCCACCCCCACCAGGGATCAGGCTGAAACCTGGATCTGTGCCCTAACCCAGAATCAAACAATGCCCAACCAACTGAGCCACACAGGCCAGGGCAGAAAGGTATAACATTTTTAAAGCACCCTATCCTAGTGCTCCTAGCACATCACACTTAATTTCAAATAGCTTTGATGACTTCAGACTAAAGGCTGGATGGAATATAAATGAATTTTTAATTGAATTATTTACTTTCACTTAACAGCTTTCAGGTATATTCCTTTTATAAGCCAGTAGGTGTCACCAGGGAGCCAAACATTGCCTAAAGCAGGGGTTCTCAACCTGTGGGTCGCGACCCTTTTGGTGGTCGAATGACCCTTTCACAGGGGTCTCCTAAGACCATCGGAAAACACTTATATAATTACATATTGTTTTTGTGATTAATCACTATGCTTTAATTATGTTCAGTTTGTAACAATGAAAATACATCCTACATATCAGATATTTACATTACGATTCATAACAGTAGCAAAATTACAGTTAAGAAGTAGCAACAAAAATAATTTTATGGTTGGGGGTCACCACAACATGAGGAACTGTATTAAAGGGTCGCGGCATTAGGAAGGTTGAGAACCACTGGCCTAAAGGAAAAGGTTTTTAGATTTCCCTTTATTTTTTCATTACCTGTTGGCCATTTGCTCAGCTTCCCACTTAAGCTAGTAGATGGCCCTTCAGAGAATTCATGGTCCCTGCAGCTGCTAAGAGTACCCTCATTTAAGGTTTATCATCCTTTTGCTTTTCTGGGAAAGAAATACCCCATTGAAGTTAGATAGATAATACTTTCTTGGGTACATTTTTTTAAAAAATGTACATTTTATTGATTTTTTACAGAGAAGAAGGGAGAGGGATAGAGAGTTAGAAACATTGATGAGAGAGAAACATCGATCAGCTGCCTCCTGCACACCCCCACTGAGAATGTGCCCACAACCAAGGTACATGCCCTTGACCGGAATCGAACCTGGAACCCTTCAGTACACAGGCCAATGCTCTATCCACGGAGCCAAACCGGCTAGGGCAGTGGTCGGCAAACTGCGGCTTGCGAGCCACATGCGGCATCTCTCAGGCACCCAAGGAGAGAATGCTTTTGTTGCTGGCTAAATCTACCTTTAGGACAATTTTAAAACATAAAGAGGCCATCGGGAGTGCTAATGTTGGTAGGGTGTAAAAGTGCTCACGAAACAGCTAGTATGGGCAATTGAATGGAGAGAAAAACTGTTGTTGATTTGGATAAAGAAAAAGCAGTTAGTTGGTAATAGCATTTTGGAGGCAGTGATATAAGAAAAATTCCTTTAAAGCTAGTAGGGGGTGGTTCAATAAATTTAAGAAAAGAAGTATGTTTATTTATAGATTAAGAAGTTCATTAGACATGTACTGTATATAAGAAAGGTTAGAACGGAATCATTTGGGGATCTGGAACAGACTAATTCAATTTACATTATTTCTAGTGGGAAAAAATGATTTGGTTTTCGAACAAATTGCTTCTTAAGCAGGCTTCCGGTACGAATTAAGTTCAAGAACTGAGGTTCACTGTATTAAGTATTATTACAGTGATTCAATTTTCTAACGTAAGCATGTCAAGCTCAAAGGCTAACACAGGCCAAGTAAGGTTTAAGTTATGTGGGCCGCAAGAAAAACAAAAGCTTCAGTTGTCGTAGAAACGTAGGATTATTTCGATAGAGACATGCTGAATACAAAGGGCTGAAATAAATGAGTAATTGTTAACATAAAATAATAGAACATTTTAATAAAAATTAGTATTTTTTCTTGAACATTAACTTACCAGACACTGAATAACTGCACAAATTAATAAGCGTAACACAAATGAACCTATTTTTCTTGTTCTCCGAAAGCAAAATATTTCCTGTTGCGCACACCAAACAAGTCAGTACAAGACTAAGGATGTGGCACTCAGCTGCTAAAATATCCACTGCTGGAATTAGTGGAGAGAAATGGTGTGCCTGCATGTAAGGCCTGTAAGGGAAATGAATGCAACACGATTATAGTAATCAGTCATTAGTGAACATTGTAGTTTGTTATTAATAAAATTATGTGTAACAGGATATTGTAAAAATTAAGTTACGAAATTTTTATTAAAACGTTTCTTACATAGTGTTATATTTATATTTGCTGGGCTGCAAAAATATTCGTTGTGGGCCGCAAGTTTGACATGCTTGTTCTAAGACATTATCTAACTTCTCAGCTGCTCTGATTTGTCAGTTTTATTATCTTCAAATATATCTTTGAACTTTATAATATTATTATGAAAAATTATAACAATTATAATTGTCCAGTTGTAGAAACTATTTTTACAGCATTTCTAAGCATCAAAGACTCTCTGAATTACTCATTTCTTCTTTATGGGAGGAGAACAAAGTTGTGGAAAGGATTGGTATTTCTCCCTTTCCAATTATCTATAAACTGGCATTTCTTCATTTGACGTTTTTTACCTTTTCTTTGTTCTCTCGTATTTCTCGTAGATGAGGATCTAATAAAGTATGGCTGGCCTGAAGATATTTGGTAAGTAACAATTTGGGTTCTGCTTTCAGTGGATCATTATTTATTTTCTTAGACCTGGCCAGCCACCTGACTCCTATGATTAAAACTGTTTTTCCATCTTCTGCTTACATCATGTTACATTACACCTTGTTGATGTCTCTCTCCTGGAGCCTCATTCTGCCTGTAGAGTGGGATATGGTCTCTACAGCTCCTAACACCCCTACCAAATGCTCTCCCTGAAGATAAGCTCATGGATCCTATTACTTTAATGATAGTAATAATGAACATAATTGAGCACTTAACTATATGCCAAATACTGTTAAATGTTTAGTTCCATTAATACATTTAGTTTCACATCAACCCTGTGAAATAGTTACTGATATGCCCATTTTTCAGATAAGGAAACTAAGGCTAAGAGAAACTGGATAGATCTGCTCTGGTTGTTGCTGGCCCCCAGTTAGCTGTAGTTCTAAATCACAACTTCTCTGTCCCTCTAAGCTGCTACTCTTGGCTACAGGTCACTTCTTTCTTCCTCAAGCTGTGGCTGTGGTTCTCCCTGGACTTCTTTTCTTCAAGTGGGCCCAGGTCCTTCACTTAATTCCCTACAGTGACAGAGTTAAGGCTGCCACTTTTTAGAAGAGTTGATTGATTTTCAATAAGGTATACAGCATTGAACATTTAGTAGGAAAAATATTACAGTGACTAACTGAAGCTACCCCTAGACTCAGTTCGCTTACTTTTTCTATGCTCCTGCTGAAGGGCGCCTCCGCTCCTGCCCCTTTATGAAGGGGCTAATTCATGACCCCAGTGGAAATGCTTTCCACTGTCTGCCTTCTCTAAAGTCTGCATGCCAGGAACCAAGAGGCACTAGAAACCTGAGGAATTTTACAGTCTTTATCTGCCCCCTGTCCCAGCACAGTGGCCCATTTTCTGAACGCAAATATGTCATTGAGGTAGACAGTGCTTGGTACTCCCTTACCTCAGGTGGACAGTTTGCACTGCTGAGGGCTTCTGGGTTGGGTGCTGCCTACCTTCCTAGGACCCTTGATTGTAAGCCCCATGAAGACAATGATCTGCTTTGTTAACTACTAGATTCCCAGTACCTAGCATAAGACCTGGCACAGAGGTTCAGTGACTGTTTGTTGACTTCCTAATTGACTAGCTCTCTGCCTGTGTGGAAGTGATCTCCACTGGACGTTTTTCACAATAATTGCATTCTGGTTATCTCCATTTTGAGCACCTGTCACCCCCAGCTGGATTGTTTCAGTTGTCCTTAAAGCCCAAAGATTTCCAGACTCTATCAAGGGGGATAAGAATGGCTACACCTGTTAATGTAGTTACCTTTTGTAAATTTTTAAAAAATATGTTTTTATTGATTTCAGAGAGGAAAGGAGAGTAAGAGAGAGATAGACACATCAATGATGAGAGAGAATCATTGGTTGGCTGCCTCCTGCATGCCCCCTACTGGGCATTGAGCTTGTAACCCGGGCTTATGCCCTTGACCGGAATTGAACCCGGGACCCTTCAGTCCACAGGTCAATTCTCTATCCACTAAGCCAAACCTGCTAGGGCCGTTTTGCAAATTTTTAACATGTCAGGTTTGAGGCAGAAATGTTTGCATATATTCAGATGCACCATGGGAGTAATTTGCCATAACCTTTTACCTGGCATTTAAGAAACAGTTTAAGAAGTGGAAAATAAATTTTCCATTTACAATGTACACCCATGTATTATGTCTTGGGTTTTCCATTTTGTTAACGTTGACTATCTCCCGGAATACTACTGAGCCAAACTGGTGTCTGCTGATACGTAGACATCCTTGACCCTTTTGACACTCTTTAATAGTCTTGCGATTAATGACTATTGTTGAAAGTGATTGACTTACTTTCAGAAGCTATTTGAGTCTGCTGTGAGCTGGAAGAACCCTAAATGTAAGACCTGTTCTGGTATATAAACTGTCAATCCTGGAGACATTCTTGGGCCTGCTAAGAAGGATGTAGTGATCTGCACTCCAGGGCAGGTTTTCCTGGTTCACTGCCTCACTCTGAGGCTTTACCTCTGAAAGTCAACATCTGAGTGTATACCAGGAAACCTCTGAGGTGCCTTTAGCAAAGGATTTTCCTAGGACTAAATGGGAATGGAACTAATTAATCTTTAAACAAAGGAAAATAGAAATAGTGTATGTTAGATCTCTGGAAATACTAGTGAGTATATTGAATTGTTTGTGTTTTTCTTTTTGTCAGATTTCACATCAGGGGCCTTTAAGGAAAATCAGAATACAGTTGAGCTATTATGGGTATATAGGAGAGTTGTTGTAAATAGAGAAATGGTTTAAAACAAGTTGGAATGGGAGGAGTTACTCCTCAGTTGAGCTTGCTTATTAATGGGGTATTTTCCTAAGATCCTGAAAGAGGGTAATGAGATATGTAATTTCTAGATTTGCACACACACAAAAAAGAAATTTTTCAGAAGGAGGGGAATGCCAAACTGGAGATGACAATCTGTAGGAATCTTTTACATGGAAATGCAAATGAGTTAATGAACCAGTTGGAAAAAAATCAAGACGTTTTTTATACTCACTTCTTGCTATCAGTAATGGTTAAGAATAAAATCTAGCTTTGTCATAGGCTGCCAAAATGTGTAATATTTTTCTGTATCCAAAGTAACTAGCAAGATGCTTAACCTCTTTAAAGAGGACATTAGAAACAGCATAATCTTAACCTTTATATAGAATCACACAGTGTGAACATTTCACTTCTGAAAAAATACATTAATGCTAAGAAAATGTCTAGAGAAGTATATCATGGTATGTAATGGTGCCTCCTTAGGGTTTTATTGTACATTCTTCAGTCTGGAAAGGCAAGGACTAAGGAGGAGATGACTAAAGTTAACAGAATCACAGAGTGACAATCATGTGATGCTAGGATTCTGGGACATCACTGGGTGTTGGAAGAGAGAATGTCAACCTCATTTGGTGAATTGTAAATATGAAAAACGTAATATCCCAAAATGTCCAACCAGGTGAAAAAGAAAGTATATTTTAAAAGATGTAATTAAATTGGTGGATGATAGAGCCGTAATGGAAGATAAATTTAGGACGTTGGGGTGGGAGGGCATTTGGATTTTTTTGGGACAGTGTCATAAGGGCAATCACCATGTTCTCCTAGGAGACGGATACTGGTAGTAGTGCCATTGCCAGATATAAGGCTGGGTGAATTCTTGGACTGTCCCATTTTATGATGTGTCTGTTTACTGTCTTCATTCCTCGCCTGATTCTTCCAGCTCTGCTTGACATTCTCTTTGGGTTGTTTTGCCATTGCTTGAAACTCAGGATGTCCCACACCAAACTCCTCATCTTTTACTCTAAATTGGTGCCTTCTCCTACTGTAAGGTGTTTCTGTCATTGGTCCTACAGTCTCCCAAGGCTTGCAGCATTGGCATCTCGCTAACTAATTTTATTCTCTTCTCTTCTTAACTGAAATTCCTTGCCCTGCTTTCTCTAAGTCCTGTGCTTCAGTCAGGGACCTACCAGATCTCGGTCTGCCAGTGAAGCCTTTTGTCACTGGTAGCACTTTCTCACTTGAAAAAGCACCCGTCCCCCGGCATGTAACGTTTATTGTCTCTAGTACTCATCTTGGCCCTTAGTCTCACACAGCTGTAGAACTTTTCATAAAGTTTATCTTACCTCTCCCAGTTGATGGTGAGGCCTGTGGAGGCCGTGACTGTGTTTTATATTCCCCATGTTGCTTAGCATGTGGTAGGCACTGAGTTAATACTTCCTGGATTGGAATGCTTTAAATGCAGGTGGCCCACGGAGATGGTTGTCTGGTATATCTTGCTAAAAGTGGTTTTCATTCTTTGTAGGTTTCATGTGGACAAACTCTCTTCGGCTCATGTATACCTTCGATTACATAAGGTAATTGGATTTAAACATGGATTCATGACTTTTTCTTTAGTGATGAGCATCATATCTTGTCCTCTATCCTTTTGTATGCAATTAAATTGCTTAAAGTAATAAATATGTGCAAAAGTGTGAAAATTAGCAAATAAAGAGATGTCTTCCCCGGACGCAGAGAATCACTAAGGGACATTCCGGTGATTTTCAGTGCTATTTCCCAGCTAGAAGCACCGCTCTATTCTGTCAGTTCAGGTGTGTTCTCTGTCACCTCTGCTTTCTCTCCCTTTCATTTCCATTGACACTACTGGACTTCCTATCTTCTCCAGTGGAGATCACGCCGTGGTTCTTTTTTCTCAGGCTCGTGATTTTCCTGCATCACCAAGGGCAGCTGTTCCCAGTTATCAGGGGTTTGGGGGGTTAAAGCACCATTATAGTAGTAAAGGAAGATGTTAATGTTCCCTAGTAACGTAAAACCACTATTCTTCCAATTTGTCTTTACATCCATATGTTATATTTTATATAGTTGAGTCATAGGGTGTATATATACTTGTTATGTGTATTGCTCTTTAAAATGTTTTATTTTGGGATGATTTTAGATTTACAAAGAGTGGGTACATCCAGTTTCCCTCAATGTTAGCATCGTACACTACCACAGTAGATTTGCCATAACTTGGAAACCAACAATGGTACATTATTATTAACTAAAATACAGACTCTATTTGATTTCCTCATTTTTTCCATTAACGTTCTCTTTCTATTCCAGGATCTAATCCAGGGTCCCACAGTGCATTTAGTTGTCATGTCTGCCTAGTCTTTGGTCTGTGACAGTTTCTCAGTCTTTCCCTGTTTTTCATGACCTTGGCAGTTTGAGAAGTATTGGTCAAGTATTTTATATTGGGTTTATCTGATGTTTTTGTCATGAATAGACTGGAGTTATGGGTTTGGAGGGAAGAATAACAGAAAGGCCCTCTCACTTGACAGAGCTAGGAAATACATGTATTTATACTAATTCATATATACACTCATGAACAATTGTTTCTGTATCTCTTCCTGTGTCCACGTTTAGCTAAATAGGAGCTCATACCATTCTCTGTCCAATCCATTACTACATGGGCCATTCTTGCTTTTCCTCCTTGCTTATCTGTAAGATCCTTCTCAGACCGTGAGAACCCTAGCTCCCACCATCCACCTTTTATTTGCATATTTATTTGACTTCAATATATGTGTAAATGGTTTCAGATTTGTTAACCCATACTCCCATACGAAACACCTATATCAACTAAAGTACAGTGTTTACGTGCAGTTGTTTTTGTTTTTTCGCCTTATAGTTTCTAGTCAAAACAGTTTTCCAAAGTTACTTATAAGCTCCCTCTCCCCACCCCCACAATCCCCTTCAGTGATGTTTTGTCATAAGCTTGTAATACAATTAGATTCTTTTGTCTCAGTTGACCTTCCATCCTGGCATTGCCTGGTTGATTGTATTACTCTCTCTCTCTCTCTTTTTTTTTTAAGTTGTTATGTAAGGGCTTTAAAGCAGCGGTCGCCAACCTTTTGGACCTCGAGGACCACCAGTTGGCGACTGCTGCTTTAAAGTTTTTGTGTTTTTTGTTTTTTTTTAATCCTCACCTGAGAATATTTTTCCATTGGTTTTTACAGAGAGTGGAAGGGAGAGAGACAGAGAGAGAAACATTGATGTGAGAGGGACACATTGATTGGTTGCCTTCGCACATATCCCAACCAGGTCTGGTGATCAAACCTGCAACCTAAGTACATGCCCTTGACCGCAATAGAACCTGGGACCCTTGAGTCCCCAGGCTGATGCTCTTTCCGCTGAGCCAGACAGCTAGGGCTATTGTATTACTTTTGAAGTGACAGTCTATAAACTTTTTCATGTTACTGTGTTATTTTCATTCTTTTTTTGACTGACTGCTTTGAGTTGGCAGTATGCCACAATTAATATGAAAGCTTCTATGTCAAAATTTAGATTATTTACAGTTTTCAGCATTATGACTCCAACAAGAGAGAGAGGAAAGGCAGAGAGAAACATCGATGTGAGAGAAACATCGATCGATTGCCTCCTGTACATGCTCTGATGGGGATCGAACCCACAACCTGGGTATGTGCCCTGACGGGGACTTGAGCGTGCCACCTTTCATTGATTGTATGGGAGGACACTCTAACCAACTGAGCCACACTGGCCAAGGCAAGAAATATTTTTTATGAACTGCTTTCTGTTTTTTCTTTTGAATTATTTTTTAGAGTAATTATCAGAAATACAATTATTGGGTCAAAGATATAAATAGTTCGGTAACTCCTTTTGTGCCAGATTGCTCTCTGAAAGTATTGTGCTAATTTAAAATGCTATCACATAAATACAGGTTTTCCCAACACTTTTGGGAATTTTGTAACTTAAAAAAAAGCAACCAAATACGTGATGCTATTTCATTATAGTTATAATATTCATTTAATTTTCTAGCAAGGTTAAACATTGTACCTCATCTTTACTTATACTCTTGTTTTTGAAAACTATATTGTAAAGGAAGAGAGGAAGATTGTGAACTCTGTGCTGGAACAAAATTCTGAATTCTAAGCCACTTCTTGCCATTTTGGAACTATTTTAAGTTTTAGTTTAGAAAAAATAGAGTGTGGTGTTACCAAGGTTCCTTTTGGTTCACATGAAAGTTTTTCCTTTGGGTTCTGCTGTGTTAAAAAATGGAAATAATGGTGGTTATCCCAAGTTTGCATTACCACCAGTTTTTACTTGTTTGAATAGAAGTTTTAATGTTATTTTTGTTTAGAAACACATATTGTGCTCAATAAAAATATGTGCTCTTTCAGAAACTCTTACCTGGTTGATCTGCAGTAAATGACATAGACCTTTGTACCTAGTAGGAACCAAGTAAGTGTTGGAAATGCAATAGGACTAAGTGGTTCTGAGCTCAGACTCTAGGTTTGAATCCTATCTCTGCTGCTTGCTGTGACTCTAAGCAAATTATTTAACTGTGCTCATTTCATCATTTGTAAAGGGGAGCTAACAGTACTGATTTTATTGGGTCACTAGAGGCCTGGTGCACGAGATTCATGCACTTGGTGGGGGGTTGGGGAGTCCCTCAGCTCAGCCTGCGCCCTCTCGCAGTCCAGAAGCCCTCGAGGGATGTCCAGCTGACGGTTTAGGTCAGTGGTTCTCAACCTTCCTAATGCCGTGACCCTTTAATACAGTTCCTCATGTTGTGGTGACCCCCAACCATAAAGTTATTTTCGTTGCTACTTCATAACTGTAATTTTGCTACTGTTATGAATTATAATGTAAATATCTGATATGCAGGATGTATTTTCATTGTTACAGATTGAACATAATTAAAGCATCGTGATTAATCACAAAAACAATATGTAATTATATTATGTGTTTTCTGATGGTCTTAGGCAACCCCTGTGAAAGGGTCGTTTGACCCCCAAAGGGGTCACGACCCACAGGTTGAGAACCGCTGGTTTAGGCAGTCGGACATCCTTGGTGCTGCCACGGAGGTGGGAGAGGCTCCCGCCACCGTTTCTGTGCTCTCCAGCAGTGAGCCTGGCTTCTGGTTGAGTGGCACTCCCCCTGTGGGAGCACACTGACCACCAGGGGGCAGTTCTTGCGTTAAGCATCTGACCCCTGGTGGTCAGTGCATGTCATAGCAACTGATCATTCTGCCGTTCAGTCAGTTTGCATAATTACCCTTTTATTATATAGGACTAGAGGTCCGGTGCACGAAAATCGTGCAGGGGGGGGTGGTCCCCTCAGCCCAGCCTGCACCCTCTCCAATTCGGGACCCCTCGGGGGATGTCTGACTGCTGGTTTAGGCCCCCCCTGCCGGCCTGGTCACCCCCAACTACCCCCCTCTGCCGGCCTTTCACCCCTTACTGCACCCCCCTGCCAGCTTGGTCACCCTCAACTGACCCCTCTGCCAGCCTGGTTGCCACACACAGCCTGCTAGTTCAGTTGTTTGGTCGTCCCTCACTGACCTGGTTGCTCCACGCAGCCTGCTAGTTCAGTCATTTGGTCGTCCCTCACTAACCCCCTGCGGCCTAGGTGCTCCACGCAGCCTGCTTGTTCAGTCGTTTGGTCGTCCCTCACTAACCCCCCCTGCCAGCCTAGTCGCCCCATGCAGCCTGCTTCTTCAGTCGTTTGGTTGCCCCTCACTAACCCCCCTGCTGGCCTGGTTGTAGGCAGCCATCTTGTGAGGGTGTGAGGGTTAATTTGCATATTACCTCTTTATTATATAGGATAGAATTGTGAAGATTAGATGAGCTTGTCTATCTGAAGTACTTAGAATAATGCCTGGCACATGCTAAGCATTGTAGGTGTTATTTATTTATTTATTTTACTGAATTCAGTTGAATTCAACCCAAACCTTGAAGATCATAGATATTCAGCTGTGCTCTTTCCTAGGCTTCTTTTATTTTTAAAAACCCATAGAAAAATCTCGCTTATGTAGGTTTCTTATCATATTAACATAGATGGCACAAAGCCCACGGTTTAAATTCTGATCTTTACCTCTTGAGAGTACCTTAGACGCGCCACTCAATTTGTTTACTCTGACTTTATGAATAATGCTAAGTTGAGTGAGGCTTGTTTTTCTGCTCATATTATATTAGAAGTTGCAAAACAGAAGTGGAGATTGCTCCAGGATTAGTGACAGCCACAGGTAGTAAGAAGGGATATTAGGATATAGGCTGACATCAAGGCCAAGAAACAAATGTTTCCACAAGAACTCCACAGGCATCATATTCTAGGCCAATTCTTAGAGCTGGTTCTAGTTCTGGGTTTATCTCTCAGTTCTGCCACTTAACTAGATATGTGGGACTTTGGCCCAGTTAACCTCACTAAGCTCCATTTTCTTCATTGGTAAAATGAGGGTAATACTATCCATTTTGTATGACTACGTAATACCTGGCATGTAGTGGGTACTCAGAAACTGGTAGCTATTGTTTTTCAATTTTCTTTTTGATTTATTTAGCATAGAGTCCATCAGCTCCTGTGTATTGTAGAAGCCCCTGAAGGCATCACTGTTGCTATATTATACCTAGTACAGTGGTCTACAGACTCATTAGTCAATAGAGCCAAATATCAACAGTACAACGATTGAAATTTCTTTTGAGAGCCAGATTTTTTAAACTTAAACTATATAGGTAGGTACATTGTTATTAACTTAATTAGAGTACTCCTAAGGCTTAGGAAGAGCCACACTCAAGGGGCCAAAGAGCCGCATGTGGCTCGCGAGCCGCAGTTTGCCGACCACAGGCCTAGTATAATGGTTGATATCCATAATGATGACATTCTGTAATCAAGATGTTAAGTTCAGAATCCTCTGTGTGGTCAGGGAATTGCACAGGATGAGATACATCATTAAAGTAGTGACACACTTAAATCACTTGGTGTTGTGTCAAAATTTATATATTTGAGAGAGTCCCACTTAAAACATTTAATATAAAGGAAATGTGTAGAAACATAATGGAATACACTTAATTTATCTCAAGTATTTATGTCGCTAGAACATTTCAATCCCAGACAGAACTGCTTCTGTAATCCCATGCCTACTAGGAGTCAATACTGGGCTGATTTCCATTTGCTCTTGCCTCTGAAACATTTTTCTTCTGAAATGGCTTTGCTTATTCAGCTTTGACTTTGATACATTATCTGTAGAGAAGAGAATCAATATTATTTCTTCCTTATAGTGAATGGTTTTATTTAACACATCAAGAGGCTGCTTCCTGATTAAGGCTGAGGATAGATGACCTACTAGATGTTTGAGTTCCAGAACTATAAGGTGTCTCTTTGAGAGAAAGGTTGTAGGGACCTCAGCTAAGGAGACATCTAGTTGTCAAAAATAGACACCATTTCCCCAACCTTTCTAGAGGTAAGAATGAGAAGAAGAAAGAGAAATTACTCAGGCATAGTTACTTAATATTTTGGTAGTTTTCTATCATACCCTGTGTTTGTATTTTTTTACTTATCATCTATCAATATTTTCTATATCACTGCCTTCTCTCAGTTTAAATAAACATTCCTGTAACAGGCTTCAGTTTTCAGTGTTCTGAAATACAGTTGAAGAGCCTCTGCTTTTAATAAAATTGTTCCTGATAAGTCAGCAAAGCCTAGTGAGTGCTCCAGTAACGATCAGTAACAACGTAGTAGACCATTTGGTTTATTTTTGTGTTTCAGGGGGAGAACATAGAAGACATTCCAAAGGACGTATTGATGGACTGTGCCCAACTTGTGAAGGCCAATAGCATTCAAGGTCAGTTTTCATAGAGGTGCTTTCAGAATTAGCAATGATTTCCCTGTGTCTGAAATGGATTACATTTTAGAGAAAATATTCCTGACTTTGGCTTGAGTGAAAGGACTGCCATGTAATATGCCTTTGCCCTGTTTTGTTCTTTAAGATGGCATTTCTGCTACCTACCAAAGAACTAAAAAGTAATCTCCCCACCGCTCTAATGTATATGACCCTAATTCTTTTACCTTGTTTTTCTTTTCGTTTTATATATTTTTATTAGTTTCAGAGAGGAAGGGAGAAAGAGATAGAAACATCAATGATGAGATAGAATCATTAATCAGCTGCCTCCGGCACACCCCCCCACTGGGGATCAAGCCCATACCCCGGGCATGTGCCCTGACCGGGAATCGAACTGTGACCTCCTGGTTCATAGGTCTACACTCAACCACTGAGCCATGCCGGCCAGGCTTGTTTTTCTTACCTTGAATAGTAAGTTGTCTATACTTGCCTACCTTTATGGTTATTTGTAGAGAGACTTTCAGAAATCAGGATGTGTTAATAGCTAAGCAAGAAACGTCTCTCACAGCTTTATTTTTATGTTGTTTGATGTCTTTGTTTCCACTATTTGCCATTAGATACTAGGACTCAAGTCTCCAAATCACTCCTGCTTTTCCTTCTTGTCTTCTCTTATTTTGTTCTCCCTATAAATTGTGAACGTATCAAATCAGTTGTTTATCCCCCAGAGAATCTTTTTTTTTTTTTTTTTTTTAAATATATTTTATTGATTTTTTACAGAGAGGAAGGGAGAGAGATAGAGAGTTAGAAACATCGATGAGAGAGAAACATCGATCAGCTGCCTCCTGCACATCTCCCACTGGGGATGTGCCCGCAACCCAGGTACATGCCCTTGACCGGAATCGAACCTGGGACCTTTCAGTCTCCAGGCTGACGCTCTATCCACTGAGCCAAACCGGTTTCGGCCCCCCAGAGAATCTTATTTAATTTGGGGCAATCTGTGAGTGTCTGTATGCTTGACATGCTCTCCAGGTGATTCTAATGTGCAGAGAGAGTTGAGAACAATTGGTGATAAATGTTTCAGGTAGGGCCTGTAATACTGGGCTTGGTGCTTATCTATTTTATTGACATAAAAATAATACAAACTAAAACTATTGTATTCTCTTTTCTTGTTTGTTGCAGCCTCTTTCACGTGTTCTTGTCCCATTTCCATGCCCCTGGCTAGCAGATGTGACTTTATTAAAAGAGCTTTAGACTCTTTATTCTTGGCCCAGCCTCTTTTTTCTTAATCTCCACTAGTTTTAGAGAAAACAGAAACAGAGAAGAGTCATGACACAGAATCCTTCTTCTCTCCTCCTCAGCCTTGCACAGCGACAGCTCACTTAGCAGAACAAGGAGCTGGGCCTAAGTAAGAGCTTCACTCTTGTGAGTCAGTAGCAGAGGCTGCTGAGGAGTGAAGGAGGTTTTCCTTGCTGTGAGCTTTGCTAAACATTCTCCATTTGTGTCACCGAGTAAAGTATTTTCCTCCGTGGTTGACCACCTCCAGCACTCAGAATCAAGGGACTTGGGGTTAAACTTGTTTGTATTCATAGAGTCTGGTCAGCCTGTTTTATATTCATCTTATACTCTCTTGCCAGATTAAACTTTCTAAAAGCTTAGATACTTCATGACACCCTCACCTTGGCTATACAGTTAAGTCCAGACTTCTTAAGCTGGCATTAAGCATCTTTGATCTGACTACATAACTCCTTTTCCCCTCACATATTTCACACTCCAGCCAAACCAAGTATTTGCTGTTTTTCTATCTTTGCTTATACAGTCATGTGTCATTTAATGATGGGGATGTGTTCTGAGAAATGCATCACTAGGCAAACATCATACCGTGAACTTACATAAACCTAGGCAGTATAGCCTACTACACGTGTAGCCTATTGCTGCTAGGCTACAAGTCTGTACGTGTTCATGCAGTAAATACTATAGCACAATCGTAAGTATCTGTGTGATTAAACATAGAAAAGGTACAGTAAAAAGTGTGGTATAAAAGATAAAAAATGGTACACCTGTATAGGGTGCTTACCGTGAATGTAACTTTCAGGACTGGAAGCTGCTCTCAGTGAATCATTGAGTGAGTGAATGTGAAGGCCTAGTGGTGAGTGAAGGCTTAGAATATTCCTGTATACTATTGTAGCTTTTATAAATACTATACACTTATGCTACCCTACTTTTATTTAAAAATATCTTTCTTCAGTGTAGCCTTAGCTTACTGTAACTTTTTAACTTTATAAACTTTAAATTTTTTAACTTTTTGACTCTTTGTAGTAAGAGCTTAAAACACACATTTGTACAGTTGTACAAAAATATTTTCTTTATAACCTTATTCTATAAGCTTTTTTCTATTTATAATTTATTAAAAATTTTTATTTTACTTTTTAAACTTTTTTGTTAAAAATGAAGACACTAATATGCACATGATCCTAGGCTCCACAGGGTCAGGATCATCAATATCACTGTCTTCCACCGCCTCGTCCTGTCCCACTGGAAGGTCTTCAGAGGCAATAACATGCGTGGAGCTGTCATCTCCTGTGATAACAATGCCTCTTCCTGGGACACCTCCTGAAGGAGCTGCCAGGGCTCTTCTTGAGGAGGTGTCACTCTTCTCAGAAATAGGACCATGGTGGTTTCCTTGGTTTAGTTTTTGTTTTGTTATTTTTCCCATCAGATTTGCTTGCAAGCAAATAATGCACCATAAATATTCTTCTCTATTAATGAAAACCTTTCAGTTGGGGCAAGGGGGTCCATGTTTTCTAACTCTTTAAGGATCTTGTTGAGGTCTGCAAAAACTTCTGCTAACATCTCCTCCACTGTGAATTTTCTTACGGATTCTTCTTTTTTTCTTTTCCTGAAGTTTCCTGTTCTCTTGCCTCTTCTTCAGCTATGTGTTCCTGTTCAGTTCCAATAACTCCTCATTAATCAATTCCTCAGAAACCACCTCTAGGAGCTCCTCAGTTGTTCTATCCACACTCAGGTAAAAGTTGATTGCCATCTCAACCACAGCCTTGTTATTTTTGCAAACTCCTCATCCTTGGCAGTCGTGGATGAACCCCTTGAGTGTATTCTTCCAGATGCCATTCATACATCACTAGTCAGTAGGACATTTTCAATTCCATGACTGAAATGTTATGTGGCACATGATTTTATCATTCCCTCTGCTTTCAGTTTTGTCCTCCTTTTCAACCATCACAAGTCCACATCCACGCTGAGGTTCAAGGTCAACATAATAGTTGTAGTAATAGCTAACATTGAATGTTAATGATATGCCTGGCACTCTGGTAAAACCTTTACAAATTATTTATCAGCCCTACTGAGTTAGATATTATTGTCATTTTATAAATGGGGATGCAGAGCTGAAAGAGAATTAAAGGAACTTACCCAAGGTATCAGACGTGGTAGAGACTGCATTTGAAATCAGACACTCTGACTTTGAAGTCTTCTGTCTTTCCCACTAAGCTATACTAACCTCTTTTGTGGAGCCTTTCCCTTCTCCAGCTTTGAGTGACCACCGCCCTCTCTGTACCATCTTACCACTTTACCTGTACCTTTCTGAAACTCGATGAGTTCTACTTTTAATTGAAGTTATTTATGTACTTACCTGCACTCCTTTAGTCTTGAAAGGCAGAATCCATCGTCTAATCCATGTTTGTATCCCCCTTGCTCATTGGAGTTTTTTTAAAACTTTATTATCTTGAAAAGTTGTAAGAAAAATACAGCTCTCATATACTCTTCACCTAGGTTCAACAATTTTTCCATATTTATTTGCTTTCTCTCTGTGACACACTTATGATTAACTTTCTTATTTGAAGAATATGAAAGGAAATTGTGGCATCATAACCTGTCATTTATGTCCTTAGAATAAGGACATTTTCTTAAGTGAATGCATTACAATGATCAATTAAGAAAATTTAACATGGATCAAATACTGTTATCTCATATACAGTCTGTATATAAGTTTTCCTACTGTTCCACTACTGTCCCTTCATAGCATTTTTTCTAATTCAGGATCATGTGTTATATTTACTGGGCATGTCTCTCCTTTTACCTGGAGATACTTCTTTGTCTTTTAGGGCACTGATACTCGCAGAGTGGCGGCCAGTTATAGAATATCCCGTGGTTTGGGTTGGTCTGGTGCTTCCTCTTGAACAGGATCGCATTATAAATTTTCAGGCAGTAATACTTCATAAGCAAAAGTAAGGTGGTGGTCACAGATTTCTCCAATGTACGTGGTGATTTAATAAACTGAAATATATTGCCACCTAATTTTGAAGGGCCTTAAAGAGTGTTGGACCAACGATTGAACTGATAATTTTTATTGTTGTTGTTAATCCTCACCCAAGAATAGAGAGAGTGAAAGGGAGGGGGAGAGACAGAGAGAAACATCGATGTGAAAGAGACACATTGATTGGTTGCCTCCGCATGCACCCCAACCAGGATTGAGCCTGCAACTGAGTTACATACCCCTGACCAGAATCAGATCTCGATCCTTCAGTCTGAGGACCGATGCTCTGTCCACTGAGCAAAACCGGCTAGGGCTAACCTGTGATTCTTTGAGCTGCCTAAGGCTGTTGGTTCAGAGGGGGAAATGTGAAGTGGAGGTGGTAAGGACAAAGGAGGAATAAACAGGAGGGCACCTGGCATCCCTTTTATCCAGAGCATCTCTGCTTTAATTACTTTGATATGTTTCTTTGGTAAAAGAGGTTCCACTGCTAAAATAAAAACAAAAATTTTACTACACTGGTCCAGTGACCTCATGTTTTATATGAGATTCTGAGAGCTGTGCGGACTTCCCCAAGGTGGCACAGCTGGTTTGTGGTAGGGCCTGGGTAGAGTGCAGGTCTTTTGAATCCCAGGCCATGGCTTTTTGCTTTATCTTGCTGCTTATCCTTTATTGGATCAAGGACTCCTCTGAGAATCGGAGCAAATCTGTTTGGACCTTTCTCTTTAAAAACAGTAGATAGTAAGTTTTGCATTCAATTTTAGGGAGTCTCAGAAGTCCCTAAAGCAAACCCATGGACCCCTGCTTTCTACTGTCATAATTTTGCTTGAATTGTGTTTGTCAACTTTACCATTTGCCTTTTGTGGGTGTTTTGTGGTTTGAAACACTTGATGCCTTGTTCATTCTAAGCTTTTTCCTTCATTGGATTATGGTGATTTGCCAGTGGGTAAGGGATCACTTTGCTAAGTGTCATCCTGCCTGCATGTTGAAGATAGTCTCTCTTGGCAGGCTGCAAGATGAACAACGTTAATGTGGTATATACACCATGGTCTAACCTGAAGAAAACAGCTGACATGGACGTGGGACAGATAGGCTTTCACAGGCAGAAGGATGTAAGTGTTCTGTACCACCGAGGGAGGCGGAGCCCTGCCACTGAGTGGGATATCGTCTTTTCTGTCTAACATCTTTGTTGTTGAGGGCTCAGCATGATGTATGTTATTTAAAGAAAATTAAGCTGGGTGGCTGAGCCCCTGGAAAGCCTCTCCCCTGTTCTTGGGGGGAAATCATATAATAAAGATTCAGTATTTTTCCCCTGTCCCTCAAAGGTGAAAATTGTGACAGTGGAGAAGAAAGTAAATGAGATCTTGAACCGATTAGAAAAGACCAAAACGGAGCGGTTCCCAGACCTAGCAGCAGAGAAGGAATGCAGAGACCGGGAGGAGAGGAATGAGAAAAAAGCCCAAATTCAGGAAATGAAAAGGAGAGAAAAGGAAGAGATGAAGAAGAAGAGGGAAATGGACGAACTTAGGTATGTTGGAGCTGTAGTATTGGTATTGACCTTGAAGATTTTTCACTGTGATTTTAATCAGGATGATACCCTGAAAAAAAGAAAAAAGAAAAGAATGATATGCTGGTGGAGGAAGAGATATAAAACAAGTTCAGAGCTTTAAATGAGTTAGAAAAAGACATTTATACTATGTTGGTCAAGTGAATTGCCCTTTTATAGGAGCAGGATATGAGAGTGTATGAAATAAAATAGCTAATTTCATTTTTGAATAAACCATAATAAGTTATCCTCAAAGTTTGGTTTGTAAACATCTTCAGGGAAAAAAAAAGATGCTATATTAAGAGTTTAACATTGACTAGCTATGATATTTGAATAGAGTTGTCTTAGCTCTAAAGGCCAGTGCTAGTAACTCTTAAAAGTTGTTTTTAAAACCTCTTTTTTACATTTTATGTGTTTTACATTTTTGAAAGTTCAAATTAATGTAGTGAGGTCTGCTCCAAAACACTGCATTTTTTTCTTTTTTATTGAATTTATTGGGGTGACATTAGTTAATAAAATTATGTAGGTTTCAGTTGTACAGTTGTATAATACATCATCTGTATATTGTATTGTGTGTTCACCACCCCAAGTCAAGTCTACTTCCATTACCATTTATCCCCCCATATCCTCTTCTACTTCCCCTCCCCCCCTTTCTCTCTGGTAATCACCATACTGTTGTCTGTGTCTTAAATTTCTTTTTCAAAACACTACTATTTTTTAATGTGTTTTTTATTGAACTTGAGAGAGAGAGAGAGAGAGAGAGAGAAACATGGATTGCCTCCATGTTTGTTGCCTCCCATACACGCTGACTGGGGATCTAACCCACAACCTGAGTAATTGCCTTGATTGGAATCGAACTGACAACCTGTGGTGCATGGGACAATGCTCCAGCCAACTGAGCCACACTGGCCAGGGCATCAAAACATTACATTTTTAAATAATAAATAGTAGTTAAAAATATAATTTGGATCCTGAAATTTTGGTGTATAGGGCCATAAGAATACTTGACTCTATTAATTTTCTATTGCTACTATAACAAATTACCACAAATTTAGTGGCTTAAAACAGCCTAGATCTATTATTTTATAGTTCTGTACGTTAGAAGCTTGATGTGGTTTCCACTGGGCTAAAATCCAGGTGTCAGCTGGGCTATGTTCCTTTCTGGGGCTCTAGGGGAGAACCTGTTTTCTTTTCCAGCTGTTAGAGCCACCCACATTTCTTGGCTTGTGACCCTTTCTTCCGTCTTCAAAGTTAATAACATTGCATCTCTGACCTTTCTTCCATGGTCATAATGCCCTCTTTGATCACAGCTTCTTTGCTTTCAAGTTCCAATGTGGTGACATTGGGCCCATCCAGATAATCTATGGTAATCTCCCATCTAAGATCCTTAACTTTATCACATCTGCAGAATAGTCCCTTTTGCCATATTAAGTGACATATTTATGGGTTCTGGGGATTGGCATGTGAACATCATGGGGTAGGATCGTTATTCTGTCCACCATACTGAATCTATATAGATGTATAGTACTATACCTGAAGAGGCCCACAGTATTTCTTTGTGAGAGAAGAAAATTAATTCTGTGACTAATTCCTAGATTTTCCCAGTTATCCATAGATATCATGTGTTAAGTGTACCAATAAGGGGAAAAAAAGCATTGATGTGTTATTCTCTTTGGGAATGTATAGTAACAAAATGAGCTGTCTTGCCATATCCTAACCCAGTTTCTTTGGAATACCTGGGTTATTAGAAAGATTGTTGGGTCGGAATTCGGTATTATGATCAAGTACTGGAACTTATTAGTTATCATATACACACGTGTTCCTGTTGGGGATTCTGCTAAAACAAAATGAGGAGCTTCATAGAATTGCCAAGTGTTATCCTGAGTTATATTTGCTAACATGAATCAGACTAATGCTAGATTTAAACATTTGATATTACCTAGAATTGCAAGTCTGCTTTCTGTTAGGAGTGGAAGAAAAAATGATCAACTCATCATGTGATAAAATATGTGGAATTTTGAGTGATTGTGGGATTTAGAGTAGTTTATTCATTTTTGGTTTTGTTTGTTTTTAAGTATTTTTATTGTTTTTAAAGAGGAAGGGAGAGGGAGAGATAGAAACATCAATAACGAGAGAGAATCATTGATCAGTTGCCTCCCACACGCCCCCTACTGGGTTATTGAGCCCGAAACCTGGGCATGTGCCCTGACAGGGAATTGAACTGACCTCCTGGTTCACAGGTCAATGCTCAATCACTGAGCCACTCCCGCCAGGGCCTTACTGCTTTTATTTTAATAAATTAACCTGGGCCTCAGAAAACCAAAAACAGTTGGTGTGTTCATTTCTGAGAAACATGTGCCACAAAAATGACTTCCATATGCTGCAGAAGGTAGAAGAACGTGAACCAGGGCTATAGCGCGATGACCCCAGGCAGGGACATATCAAAGATTCACTTGGCATGTGCAGAGCTGCTGTTTGCATGCTGTATTCTGCAGCTTTTGTGAATTCCAACAACAAATTCTAAGTTTCTGATGTTTTATAATTTGTTTTTATACATTTGTAGTGCTGGCATCACTTTAATTTCTGCCTTTTGACTCTTCAACCTAAGAGATCAAATGCTTTGACTATAAAATTTTCTCATTTTAAAGTCTTTCTCTTGGCTTTCTGACAATGAAAATACCATTGAATTTTACCAACCGGTGATTCTTTTATTTGGACCATCTGGTAAGGAATGTCAAGTTGCTGTGATTGCTTAAGAAATTGACTTTTGAATCTTCAGGGGATTCCACAGATAAATCAAGGAAACATTATTATCTCAGGCAGTATCCCCAGTGTTTCCACATGGTTTCAGTGAAAAAGTACTTAGCCCAATATTCAGAAGGGCTACATTCCAACTTCTTTCCAGTCCTAAAACCATTATTTAGACTCTGGACTCCATTCTAGCTTTATGAACAAGGGCAGAAGAAGGGCAGGAAGCTTTTAATTTCTAATTTCTACTGGGAGGGAAAGTGGATGGAAGTTCTTTGAGCCCTAGTCAGGATCATATCCATCAGCTCTCTGCTCAGAAATGAATGAAGCGAAAAAGAAGGTGCTGCCTTCCTTCTCTGATGAAAAGAAGGAGCTCCATTTTGTTCTTGCTAATAAGTGCTTTACTCCTTGTCCTCAGTGTGCACATATGATACTGATCTGGTCATGTAAACAGATCTACATAAAGGTCATTGTTTTTTGGGTAGTTTTTAAAAATATTTGGGTTGTTGGGAGGGTGTCAAAGTGTGAAGGCTAGATAGTAACAGTATATTAACACCTTCTATTAATCATTTTATTCATTTAAACAATAATGAAAATTTATTTCCTTTTAGACTTCACATATTAATTCTCACTTACCCATCCTGTTCTTTAGCTCTTTAGACAGTTTTAAAAATTATATATTTACATATTTTTGGAAAATATATTTTTATTGATTTCAGAGAGGAAGACAGATAGAAACATCAATGATGAGAGAGAATCATAGGTTGGCTGCTTCTTTCATGCTCCCTACTGGGGGTAGAACCCACAACTTGGGCATTTGCCCTGACCCGGAATTGAACCATGACCTCCTGGTTCGTTCATAGGTCAGTGCTCAACCACTGACCCACACTGGCCAGGCTAGACAATTTTTTTTGGCTCACACTTGCCCTCTCAGCCTAAGATCTAGGGGTTTTAGAGAGTCTTTGTACAGGGTTAGGTATAAGGAGGAAGCCACATACTGGTTTTCTTTCCATATCTGCTATGCTGGAAGCCATACATAGAGTTAAGAGAAAGTAACAGAAGAGACTCAACATAGGTTTTGAAAGGATTTGGAGCCTTGGAGTGATCTTGCCTGGAAAGTTAGAGAAACAGAATGTCTTTCACTCAGTCTACATTTGGTTTTAGAGAGGAGCATTTGGAGAAGTCCTCTGGGCCAGTGGTTGCCAACCGGTAGTCCACGACCACTGGTGGTCCGTGAGGTCCAAAAGGTTGGTGACCGCTGTTCTAGGCTGGTACCTGTGAGTCTACCATAGACACAGTCACTTCTTTTTTTTTTTTTTTCTGGAGAGATTATTTTATTATTTACTCATATCATAAATTGACAGTTCAGGATCAAATCACTCGAAGTGTGGTAAGAATATCACTGTTACCACATGAGATGAGTTTAGGTAGTATGTCCATGGACATGTTTTAACAGTTATGTAATTATTTCAATGAGTATTACCAGCATATCAAACTTGTGATTTAATGGATGTTATTGCTTAGAGCTAGGCAAAGTATGACAAAGGAGTGGATATAAAGTCAATCCTCTATAATAAAAGGGTAATATACAAATTGACCCTAACAGCAGAACCACTGGGAATGATTGGTCACTATGACACACACTAACCACCAGGGGGCAGATGCTCAATGCAGGAGCTGCCCCCTGGTGGTCAGTGCGCTCCCACAGGGGGAGCTCTGCTCAGCCACAAGCCAGGCTGACGGCTGCCAGCACAGTGGTGGTGGCAGGAGTCTCTCCCGCCTCCTCAGCAGTGCTAAGGATGTCCAAATGCATCTTAGGCCTGCTCTCCACTGGCAAGTGGACATCCCCTGAGGGCTCCCAGGCTGCCAGAGGGATGTCTGACTGCCAACTTAGACCCGATTCCCTGGGGAACGAGAGGGCACAGGCTGGGCTTAGGGGACCTCTCTCCCCCCCCCACCCCCCCCCCCCGAGTGCACAGATTTTTGTGCACCAGGCCTCTAGTGTAAAGATAAATACTAATCTTATCTTAGTACAGATGCAGCATCCAAACTTGTAGAGCAGGGTGGGGAACGTTTTTTCTTCCAAGGACCATTTGGGTATTTATAACATCATTCGCAGGCCATACAAAATTATCTGCTTAAAAATTAGCTTGCTATATTTGGCCAAACATTTCATTAATTCACCCCTACTGCCTTGGCAGGGCTCGGGCCTTATACGGCCTGGGGGCTTGGATGTTCCCCACCCCTGTTGCAGAAGATACTGTCACTTCTTAACTTGCTAGGCAAGAGTAACCAAGGCTCCCTTTAGTGTGTCATAGGAATATTGTTTCATCTGAATAGTTGAATTTGTGATATAAACAGAAGTCCAGAGAATCTTTTTTGAGAAATTAAAACATTTATTCAGATAATGATTTGCAAACCAGGGAACATAGCCCTCGATATGAACTGAAAATATGCTCTAAAAGCGGGGGGCTGCAGTAGAAATAGGGCCAGGTTTTTGAAGGCAGCAGCTGCAAGGAGCTGATGATTAAAGAAATGGTTTGCTAGGGGAAACAAGACCACAAACGTACATCATTTATTTTCTGAGTGGTGTGGGCAACTGGACTTTTCAACCGTCAGCTTGACTCAGTGGTGAAAATGACAGGCAACATATGATCAAGTGTTTCTCGATGTGCTAGTTTCAGCCCAGGCATGTTGAACAAAAGGGTTTTTTTTTTTTTTGGTCACACAGTTACAGTATAGGGAGTGGGTTTTTTTTATTGACAACAACAAAGAGTATGATTTATCAAATAGTACAGTCGGCATCGAGGACTGTTCGCTCTGCAGGTAGTGTAGGAGCCCAGAAGGGCAAAGTTATGCTTTGTAAGCAGCTTCAGAGCTCAAGCTGCAAAAATCTAAATATTGGGCCCAAATGATAATTAAAGTTTTTATAAGTCCTCAGTGGTTACACCCAGTGATATTAATCCAGTGAAAGCTTACCTGCTCTATTTTAATTTTGTATTCTCTTATTTGGCTTTTGTGGCAAATGTTTATTAACATCAGAATCAAGCTCACCCCGTGGATGTTGAAATAAACAAGAGTCAGGGTAATGTCATTATTAGAGAATAAGTGAGTAACAGATGAGAAAAGACAAAGGGTATATGGCTACCTGAGATAGGGATGTTTAAAGTGGCTGTCTGGGAGATCAGAACTGGAACCTACGGCTCAGGTGATTAAAGTCAAAAGTGCAAGACCCAGGTAAAATGGCAAGTCACACAGGTACACGTATCATCAGTTTGAACATTGACATGAACTTGGTTTGAAGGCGAAGATTACTTCAGCAAAGAGGGTAATGTGTGAAGTGTGAAAGGTTATAGTTGATAAATGGCAAAGCAGGAGTTCAAACTCAAGTCTGTAATTCTGAAGTCCATACTGCGACTGTACCATGCTGCCTATAAGGCAAGGATGAACAAGTTGGCAAGGCCAGAAGCAAGGTTGTACCTAGGGAAATTAAAAAGAATAAAAGGCTTTGTTAAGTCCAAAATTTCATGTTGTAATTGATATTGTAATATTCTTGGGATATTAGTAAGAAGTAGACTTGTAAGGATGATGAGTTTAGTGGCAACACGTAGGAAGAGGTAATGGTGAGACCATTGATTAAAAGGATGATATAGTCTGATGTGGCATTGACTGCTCTAATTGTACCTCCTTTTCTCTCTGACACTACTACTGCTGCCTTCTATAAATAATGCTCTGTACCATAGCTCTTCATTTTAATGATAAGCTCTTTTAGAGAAGCACTTACATGCATCCTTGTATCCCCTTATATGTGACCCAGTGCTTTGCATATGATTCGTCAGTATAATAGATGAATAAGTAACTGAGATTAGCTTCCCTTTTCAGTGACTCTTGAGCTAAGATCAAGACTGTTTGCTGGTTAAAGGGGGTGGGCGTAGGGGTGGGATGGAAAGAGAGCTCTTAGTAGAGGAAACCATGTATGCAAAGACCCTGTGTGGGAGGGAGCAAGGCAAAACACAGGACTAAAAGTAGGCCCAAATGTCTGGAGCATCTGGCAAGAGGGATCACTGGATCAGGGTACCAGTCCATGCGGGGCCTCATTGACCATGTCTGTCTTCATGCTGAGAGTTTTGTAAGGTCATTAAGCAAAGGGTAGTGTGATAGGTTTGTGTCTTGGGAAGGTGACTTTGCTCATCTGCTTGGAAAGAGAACCCAGGTGGGTGTGGCTGGCCAGTGAGGACACTATTGCAGTTGTTCATGTGACAGACAGTGGCACCTTGGACTGTGGTGATGATGTGGAGGTGGAGAGAGGTGGACCAGAACAAGAAATTTTGTAGATAAAATGGCAGGATTTGAATGAAGATAGATTGAATTTAGGGGAGAGACAGGGAAAAAGAATGATTCCTGGGTTTCTGGTTTGTGGAATGGAATATGGATAGCAATGCAATTCTTTGAGGTAGGAGATACTGGAAAAGAACTCAACCATTTCTTTTTGTTGTTTTGCTTTGTTAATCCTCACCCCAGGATACTTTTTCCTTTTTTTTTTTTTTTTTTTTTTTTTTTTTGTTAGAGAGAGAGTGGAAGGGAGGGAAGGAGGAAGAGAGAGAGAAAGAAACATCAATGTGAGAGAGACACATTGATTGGTTTGCCCCCGCACATGCCCCATTCGGGGCTCAGGATTGAACCTGCAGCCAGCTTCATGCCCTTGACAGGAATCAAACCTGAGGCCCTTAGGTGCATGGGCTGACGTTCTAACCACTGACCCACACCAACCAGAGCACCAGTCATTTTTTATAGTGGGGAAGACCATGAGTTGGATATGGATATATGAATCATATCTGCCCTTGGCTATAGGTGAATTTCCTCATTTATATAATGCCACCTTCCACACAGTTATTGAGTAGGAGTGAGTGCTTCGTAAACTATAAAGGTGCTATGTACATCTTATTGTTTGTAGATATTTATCCTTTTTATATTGTAGTCTCCTTGAGGGCAGGGATTGTATTTTTGTTTGTTTGTTTTTGAAAGACCCTCAGCAGTGCTAGATACATGTAATATTCACGTAATTCTTGCCAGCTGGCTAACCTTATTTTAAATGTGTTTTTTCTTCCAGGAGCTATTCCTCATTAATGAAAGCTGAGAATATGTCTTCAAATCAGGTATGCTCAAGTTATTTGCTCTAATGTTGTGCCTTGAAATAGTTCAGTAAGAGTTATTAATAATTGAGTTACTGGCCAATATTGACTCACATGTTGCACAACTATAGAACACTCAGGTGGCTTCTATTAGGCATTGCCTCTCCTTCCTTGTGGACTTCCTCATGTGTTTGTTTTTGAGTAGGGCACCTTCTGTCATCCCTTGTCCATTGTGAAGTGTGGGTCTCTTAATACTGACAGGGCTTTCTCATTCATTTTCCTCTTTCCTACTTGCAGGCATGCAAGAGTGCCTTTATTTATTAGTGTCCTATATGAATGTGACTGTACATTCTATATTATAATTGAGTGAGAACAAAATTATCACCTTCAATTAAAAAATTAAACAGAAGTATTAACTCTAAGATCTTATTTGTATAAGTGACGACATTGATTGTTTTCATGTTCCTCAAGACCTGAGTTAAAGAGAAATGGTAGTCTGTATTATTGTACTGAAAGGATCTTCTAGCATTAGCACCTAGTTATTTACTGACATATTGTTGTTCATGAGTACTATCTTCCCCAAAGTTTATTTTGAAATGTCTGGAGGTAGCACAATTGCGCTATTATTAAATTGTCTTTGCCCAAAATAAAACTGAGTGAATATATTTGCTATATTGAATGTTTATAATATAGTTTACAAATACGTGCTTTAGATTTGTGTTTTTCAGTACACTAGGCTTGATTGCATATGGCTATTTAAATTTAAGTTAATTAAAATTTAATTTGATTTAAAAACTCAGATTCTTAGTCATATTGACCACATGTGGCCAGGGACCATCATATTAGCGCAGAAATAGAACATTTCCATCATCACAGAGAATACTGTTAAACAGCACTGCTTTAATACTTGAAAGTTATTAACAGAATTGAAGGTCCCTCAAAGATCATCTAGTCAAACACTATATTTAGTGCATGAATTGGAATTGTTAATAGGATTTTACATCTTGTTCATATCTACATATCCTTCTAGATGTAATAGGAATAATATCTTTATTCCTAGAAGAACTAAATTTATGAAGCTTCTTTATGAGTCAGAGATGTGTCTGTAAAATTTATTCCTGAAAAATTCCAGAGTAGCATTATGTAAGTAAATAGAGCCTTGAATTTGTTTTTTTTTTTGTTTTTTTTTCTTTTTTTTTTTTTATTTCTTTGTTTTAACTTTTTTTTTTAAATATATTTTTTATTGATTAAGATATTACATATGTGTCCTTGTCCCCACATTACCCTCAACCCCCCCCCCCCCCCGCTCATGCCCTCACCCCCCCGTTGTCCATGTCCATTGATTAGGCCTATATGCTTGCATATAAGTCCTTTGGTTGATCTTTCCCCCTTACCCCCACCCTCCCCTACCTTCCCTCCAAGTCCCAACAGTCCAATCAATGCCTCTCCGTCTCTGGATCAGTCCTTGTTCATCAGCTTATGTTGTTCATTATATTCCACAAATGAGTGAGATCATGTGGTATTTATCCGCTCTCCAGTTCCATCCATGCTGTGGCAAATGGTAAGAGTTCCTTTTTCTTCTTCCTCTTCTTAAAGAATACCTTTCAGCATTTCATATAATGCTGGTTTGGTGGTGATGAACTCCTTTAGCTTTTTCTTATCCGTGAAGCTCTTTATCTGACCTTCTATTCTGAATGATAGCTTTGCTGGATAAAGTAATCTTGGTTGCAGGTTCTTGCTATTCATCACTTTGAATATTTCTTGCCAGTCTCTTCTGGCCTGCATGGTTTCTGTTGAGAAATCAGCTGACAGTCGTATGGGTACTCCCTTGTAGGTAACTGACTGTCTTTCTCTTGCTGCTTTTAAGATTCTCTCTTTATCTTTTGCTCTTGGCATTTTAATTATGATGTGTCTTGGTGTGGTCCTCCTTGGATTCCTTTTGTTTGGGGTTCTCTGCGCTTCCTGGACTTGTAAGTCCATTTCTTTCACCAGGTAGGGGAAGTTTTCTGTCATTATTTCTTCAAAAAGGTTTTCAATATCTTGCCCTCTCTCTCCTTCTGGTACCCCTATAATTCTGATGTTGGTACGCTTGAAGTTGTCCCAGAGGTTCCTTACACTATCTTCATATTTTTGGAATCTCTTTTCTTTTTTCTTTTTCGGTTGGGTATTTTTTGTTTCTTTGTATTTCAAATCTTTGACTTGATTCTTGGGATCCTCTTGTCTGCTGCTGGATCTCTGTAAATTATTCTTTATTTCAGTCAGTATATGCTTAATTTCTAGTTGGTCCTTTTTCATGTCCTCCATGGTCTCACTATACTTATTGAGGGATTCATTAAATTTATCGGCGGTTTCCATAAAATTCTTGAAAAACCTTATAAACGTGGCCTTGAACTCTATATCCAATCGTTTGCTTTCCTCCATTTCTGCCATTTGTGACCTGTTTCTTTGTCTCCGCATTTTGGCAGCTTCCCTGTGTTGATAGAGTGGCCCTGCGCGCCAGGTGTCCTGTAGGGCCCAGTAGCTCAGCCTCCCCAGTTACCTGGGGTGGACACTCTTGGTGCACTCTTGGTGCCTTGGTTGTTGTAGAATCACTGGGAGGAATTGACCTCCAGGTCAATTGGCTGTGAGAATCAGCTGTGTCTAAAGTGGGAGAACTTCTGTGCTGAAGACACCCTTCTGGGGCAAGACTTGCTTCAGTGGGGCTTTGGTGCTCACTGAGTCTGCTCCCTGAGTGTGTCCCTTATGGATCTGAGGAGTTGCAGTCTGGATGGTCCCCCTCTGACCACTGGGTACAGTGGCTCCTGGATCTAAGGAGGTGCTAATTCAGCCTCTGCCTGAGGCCACACAGCAGGAGCCACGAAGAGGCTCAGCTGTGAAGCAATGCAAGCCGCTGCGGGGCCTTGGGCCTTCTCTTGGAAGTTCCGGGTCTGCCTGGTTCGGCTGCAGTTAGGTACATTCACATGCAAAAGCCTCTGCCGCAGCCTGGGTGGGGCGGGGTCTCAGGGAGTCAAAGGGCGGAGAAAGCAGCTATGGCCGATTCTCCGCCCGGAGTCGCGCGTCTCAGTGTCCCGGTAACGGCTGCAAGCACCTCTGAGGGAAAGCCGCCCTCAAGTTCGCCCGCTGCCGGACAGAGCAGCCTCTCCCCGTATGAGTCCTGGGTCCCCAGAGACTTCCCGGAACCGGAGTTCAGAGCAGTGGGGAGTTTGTGATTCAAAAAGACAGCCGCGTCCTCAGGCGCCACCCCCTTTCCGCGCGCGCGCGCGAGCTGCCGTACCTCTGCACTTCACCTCCGCAGCGCCTCTGGCTCTCAGCGTGCTTTTCTTTCCTTCTAGTTGTGGAATTTACACTCAGCCAGCCTTCCTGTTGTTCTGGATGATGTTTGCTCAGTCCTTTGCGGTAATTTTCAATTGTTGTGTGAGGCGACAATTTCCCGGTGTTTACCTATGCCGCCATCTTAGTTTTTTTCGAGCCTTGAATTTGAAGTTTAGAGACGTGAACTGTCATTTACTAATAGAATAAGCCTAATAAGGTTATTTAACCTCTTTGAGGGTGTATCCATCAGCAATAAAAAGAAGACATATTACCTCATGAGGCTGTTCTAAAATTTATACAAGTGCATATGTGAAAGTTCTTCTTTGACTTAGTCACTCTATAAATATAAATGGTCATTATTATTTCTTACTCATATAGTCCTTCGTTGCTATTTTCCCACAAAGTATCAGTATCAGAAGATGAGAAATAGTTAATCCCTTCTGGAAACTATTGTTAGATTTCTTGAAACTGTTAAAAGTAGTTTAACAGTTAAACAGAATTCTTTAACATCCCCCAAATCTAATGTCTTTGTTGTGGTACATGCTTATTGAAGGTTTCTCCTATTCAGGGGCTACTTTCCAGCAGAAATCTGGCACTTATAGTATGATTTTAGGCATTTTCATTCCCATCATTATGGATTTTTAAAGTTTGTATGTTCTGGAATTATGAAGTAAACATAAACACATACACACATGAATGTATGTACATATATATATAAATAGCATCTGATTATCAACAGATGTTAAAAGTTCCAGGATTAGGAAATCAGATTTGTAGACCAAAGGATTACTAATCTGTTATTTGCTACCCCTGTTCCTGAGCTCCAGGTTTGAATCACATTCAAGTTTCCAAGGAAGTTTTGTGCTGGTTTTGATCATTTCTTGCAGTTGAAGGACTCATAGCTTTTTCTTGTACTTCAAAAGACTAAGCTTTAATTCTCCTTGTGATCATCCTATGTTAAGGGGATACAGACCTTTTATGATCCCTTTTGGCAACATGGTCAGTCAGTTTTCAGTTAAAGGCTGGTGTTTATGTAAGATAATTGTTAATTTAGTTTATACAAATATTAGTCTTCCACTCTTAAGTTGGTTTCAATTTTGAGTTTGTGCTCTTCTATTTAGATTAGTTCTCTTCAATCTATAAGTTTTTTCTAGCTAACCATTCTAAGTTTGGTATCAGGAACCATAACAATTACTTTTAACATTTTATGTGCTCATCATCTTGTAAGTGGATAACACGAAACCTATTTTGCTATATTGAAAAAAACATTGACTCTTAAAGGGAGTCTAAAATATAAATATTATCCTAATAAAGTTTTGGAGTTCAGATATATATTAAAAGTTACTCTAATCCTAAAATACTGTTTCTCAGACACATGGGAACTCTTTGCAAATGTAACTCACAGCCTTTATAGGGAATGATGCATTTTCATTGTCACCAACCTAAATTATTTTAGTGAGTTTTTCTTTTTCTTTCCTTCTTCCTTAATAATTCTTTATTGTTGAAAGTATTATATATATTCCCTTTTCTCCTCCATTGACCCCCTCCAGCCCACTCCCCTGCCCCAGGCCCTCACCACCCTATTGTCTGTGTCCATGGGTTATGCATATATGCATACAAGGTCTTTGGTTAATTACCTCCCAATCACCCACCCTTCCCCGCCTTTCCTTCGAGATTCCATACTCTGTTCCATGCTTCCATGTCTCTGGATCCACTTTGTTCATCAGTTTATTTTGTTAATTAGATTCCACATATGAGTGAGATCATGTGATACTTCTCTTTCTCTGACTGACTTATTTGCTAATTGAAGAGAAGGTCCCTCTGTGCTGTCTCAAAGGGTAAAAGATTCTCCTTTTTTACTGCTGCATAGTATTTCATGGTATAAATGTACCATAGCTTTTTTATCTACTCATCTACTGATGGGTACTTGGGCTGTTTCCAGATCTTAGGTATTGTAAATTGTGCTGCTATGATGAATATAGGGGGGGGTTATACATTCTTTCTGATTGGTGTTTCGGGTTTCTTAGGATATAGTCCTAGAAGAGGAATCACTGGGTCAAATGGCAGTTCCGTATTTAATTTTTTGAGGAAACTCCATACTGTTTTCCATAATGGTTGCACCAGTCTGCATTCCCACCAGCAGTGTAGTACTAGGGTTCTCTTTTCTCCACATCCTCACTAGCACTTGTCATTTGTTGATTTGTTGATGGTAGCCATTCTGACAGGTGTGAAGTGATACCTCATTGTCGTTTTAATTTGCATCTCTCTGATGATCAGTGACTTTGAGCATTTTTTTATGTCTCTTAGCCATCTGTATGTCCACTTTGGAGAAGTGTCTATTTAGGTCAAGCATGTCAAACTCACAGCCGGTGGGCCGCATGCCTTGTTTAAATAAATGTGGGCCACAAGTTTGACATGCTTGATTTAGATCCTTTGTCCATTTTTTTTTTTTTTTTTTAATTAAATCTTTATTGTTCAGATTATTACATTTGTTCCTCTTTTTTTCCCCCCATAACTCCCCTCCTCCCAGTTCCCGCCCCCACCCTCCGCCCTCACTCCCCACCCACTGTCCTCATCCATAGGTGCACGATTTTTGTCCAGTCTCTTCCCGCATCTCCCACACCCCTTTCTCCCCCAGGAATAGTCAGTCCATTCCCTTTCTACGTCCCTGATTCTATTTGTAATCAACAGTTCATTCTGTTCATCAGATTATTTATTCACTTGATTCTTAGATTCACTTGTTGATAGATGCATATTTGTTGTTCATAATTTGTATCTTTACCTTTTTCTTCCTCTTCCTCTTCTTAAAGGATACCTTTCAGCATTTCATATAATCCTGGTTTGGTGGTGATGAACTCCTTTAGCTTTTCCTTATCTGTGAAGCTCTTTATCTGACCTTCAATTCTGAATGATAGCTTTGCTGGATAAAGTAATCTTGGTTGTAGGTTCTTGGTATTCATCACTTTGAATATTTCTTGCCACTCCCTTCTGGCCTGCAAAGTTTCTGTTGAGAAATCAGCTGACAGTCGTATGGGTATTCCCTTGTAGGTAACTGAGTTTCTATCTCTTGCTGTTTTTAAGATTCTCTCTTTATCTTTTGCTCTTGGCATTTTAATGATGATGTGTCTTGGTGTGGTCCTCTTTGGATTCCTTTTGTTTGGGGTTCTCCGCGCTTCCTGGAGTTGTAAGTCCATTTCTTTCACCAGGGGGGGGGAAGTTTTCTGTCATTATTTCTTCAAATAGGTTTTCAATATCTTGCTCTCTCTCATCTTCTGGCACCCCTATAATTCTGATGTTGGTACGCTTGAAGCTGTTCCAGAGGCTCCTTACACTATCCTCGCATTTTTGGATTCTTTTTTCATTTTGCTTTTCCGGTTGGGTGTTTTTTGCTTCCTCGCATTTCAAATCATTGACTTGATTCTTGCACTCCTCTGGTCTGCTGTCGGGAGTCTGTATAATATTCGTTATTTCAGTCCGTGTATGCTTAATTTCTAGTTGGTTCCCCAATATAAGATCGAGGGTCTTATTAGTTTTCTTGTAGATCTCATTAAGTTTATCGGCGGCTTCTAAACAGTTCTTGAGAGACCTTAAAAGTGTGGTTCTGAACTCTATATCTTCCATTGACAATTTTTGTCCTGTTTCTTTGTCTCCGCATTTTGTTATGCTTCCTTGGTGCACCCCCTAGTGGTCTTTGTTCGCAGTCTTATAGTTAAATCTTGATTGTTATAGTTAATTCCAGGGAGGGTTTGACCTCCAGGCCAAGTGGCTATGAGAATCAGCTGTGTCAGCAGTGAGAGAACTTCTGTCCTCTAGGGAGGTGCTAATCTGGCGTTTGCCTGAGGCTATCCGGCAAATGCCTGTGTGCAGGGCTTGGGCGGGGCGGGTCGCACAGGATCAACAGGGTGGGCCGGAGAGAGCAGTTATGGCGGCTCTCAGGCCTGTCCCCAGGGGCTCTGCCTCTCTGAGTCCCAGCACCCGCTGCAAAGCTCAGAGAGAAAGCTGCACTCACTCTGACCGAAGCCAGACAGTCCCGCTTCTCCCGTTTGAGTCTGGGTCCCTAAAGACTCGCCCGGATCTGGAGCTCAGAGTCTGCGACTCCCTCCCGAATGAAAACGCCAACCTCGCCCTCCGCCGCCAGCCCTCTCCGCGCACTCCGCACCTCAGAATTTGACTTCAGCACTGCGCCTCCTCTGAGTGTCCGTATGCGTTTCTCTTTCCTCCTAGTTGTAGGACTTCCACTCAGCCAGCGTTCCTGTGGTTCTGGGTGATGTCCCTTCCGTTTTTTGGTTTCACTTTTGAAGTAGTTGTTCAGAGCAGCAAACTCCGGCGTTAACCTATGCCGCCATCTTCCTCTATATCCCCTTTGTCCATTTTTTAATTGGATTGTTTGTCTTCCTTCTGTTAAGCTGTATGAGTTCCTAATGTATTTTGGATATTATTGGTGAGGTTTTCATTCTTGGTGTTTGGGATCTAAAGCTCACCTTAAAAGATATAGGATGACTCGTTCAACCTCTCTAATGCTGTTACTCAGTTTAGGACTCTAGGGCAGTCACAGTTCCAGAGTTTGCACACAAGGCAGGCATTAGTGTGCTCTTTGTACAATTATTATTTAAGGCATTTTGACTATGGCCTCAGTTTGTTTTGCTAATTGAAGAGAAGCTCACAGAAAACTACTGAGTGAAACTGGAAGTTACCCCAGACTTCACAGAAACCCTTGTTTTTTACCTGTATCTCATATTTGCCCACCCACCTCAAGTAGGAGCTATTAAGGAGAAAAGCATGTATACCTTTAAGCCCAAGTCCTCTTTCTCTAACAGCTCAGGTGTCATACGGTGGGAGCATGAGAGAAGCTGAAACAAGTGACATTTTCAAGCGAATGTACCAGAACTTACACTGTGAATGTTATTTTTTAAAATATGTTTTTATTGATTTTTAGATAGAGAGGAAGGCAGAGGGAGAGATAGAAACATTGGCTGCCACCTGCACACCCCCTTACTGGGGTTGGAGCCCACGATCCAGGCATGTGCTCTGAAGGTGAATCAAATCCGGGACCTCTCGGTCCATGGGACAGCGCTCAGTCCACTGAGCCACACCAGCTGGCCAGAGCATTTCTTAGGGTATGCAGTATCTCAAAAAGAGTCTGGGCTCTGTTTTCATTCTTTAGTTTGTAAGCCATACAATCAAATCAGTCCCTTTATCTCTATACCATCATGTATGGGTTTTTTTAAATCAAAAAGTTGTCAAGCCAGCTAACTTTGAAAGCCTATGGCTTCCTAATAACTTCAGTAACTTCCTAATAACTTTTCCTAGTTTAAAAAACAAAACAAAAACCAAACCCATCTGCAAGTCACAAATAATGTGACAACCTTGAAGCTCAAAATAGTGAGAGTTAGGCCCAAGCATTTCTGCATTTCAGCAGCATTGTTGGATAAGAGCGCCGAGGCAATATTGGACCGCATATTATTTGGCGCATTTGTTGAAGGAGCAATTGCATTTTTCTGTTACATCCTCTCCTCGGTTGGTTGGGCCTTGTTTCATAGTTTGGATATAATTGGTCACCTGTCGTGTAATCCAGGCCACGTAATGACACCTCAGAGCAGCGGTTCTCAACCTGTGGGTCGCGACCCCTTCGGGGGTCCAACGACCCTTTCACAGGGGTCACCTAAGACCATCGGAAAACACATATATAATTACATACTGTTTTTGTGATTAATCACTATGCTTTAATTATGTTCAATTTGTAACAATGAAATTGGGGGTCACCACAACATGAGGAACTGTATTAAAGGGTCGCGGCATTGGAAGGTTGAGAACCACTGCCTTAGAGACTATAGCTGCTAACAACCTATTCTAAACAATTAACAATTTAAGATAGAGAAGTGATGAGTGTGTTTAATTATTTTACTTTTTCCTTTCTGAACTCTACAGTTAGGCATAAGGAGGGTTGTTACTTAAGACTTAATTGTAGGTTTTACAAATCGAGTTATATATTTTTGAAGACTTTTATGGTTTCACTTTTTTGTTTCCTACAGGACGGCAATGATTCAGATGAATTCATGTGAATGGAGAGATGGACCTTTTAAAGATGTGAATTTAGGGACAGTTGCAGATGTTTTGATGTCATCCATGTTCTGAGTTATGAAAAACAACCTCAGTCTATACAGATATCAACTTGGGAATTTTTTTTTAAAAGGTATTTCTTTTTTTGCTGACAGAAAAGGATCAGATATGTACATATATATATCAGATATAGTTGGACTTGAAGACAGTGTATAACTTTAGGAAAGTGAAAATATTTGTGCCCGAACATGTCTTGGTAGCTCACGAAAGTTGGCTGCCCTTTTTCTTGGGATAGACTTTAGAACGAACCAACTCTGAAAAGTATTTCTGGTACTGTGGTTAATCCCTGAAAACAGATGTCTTGAAAAGCTTTTTATATTCTTAAAATAGCTTCACTTCTATTAAGGAGAATGTATTGGTGAGCAATATATAGGAATGTTCCTCTCACCGTCGAATTCCTGATTAGAAAAAGATGATAGTGAGTTTTGAAGATGATAGTGATATTTTTATTCATGTTCCATTGTGTTGTCTGAGTCAAATAGCAGAGTTGTCCTCAGCAATCAGCTTGCCCTAGCTTCCACTTTCTGCATCCTCATTGTTTGAGTGAGGGCCTCCTTCTAGGTACCATCAGACTTAAAGAAATATTTGGTGTTAATCCAGGTTGGCCTTGTGTGGCAGTTTTTACCTGAGCACCAACTAACCCAGGCCTCAGAGATTACAGCTTCCAGGCCCTGGAGTCATGTCTCAGAAATCTAAGGGAGGCTCTATGAATCAATGTAGGTTACCTGATTTTTGTCTTGGAATACAGCATAAAGCAAAAAGTCCATGTTGTAATTATGTTTTTAAAAAGAATTAAGCATTTCACTAGCCAGCCAAATAATTTGTTTATTTACCCTGAAATAATATTTATTTTGAATTGTAACCCCAGAGTTCAGATTTCTCCATTGTAGACTCAGTAACTTATTATGTAACAGGACTGCTCATTCAAACCACCTGCTTTCCAGTGTGATTCTGAATAGAAGATATATTTTTATTGAAGTGTGTAAGAGAACCCCAGCAGAAAGAAACAAAAGAACAAAGCCTGCAGGCCAGGAGGCATACGGATTCACATTTTAACCACACCCAGAACTGTACGTGTAGCATTCTTATTCTTGTTCTAACCCAGCAGCAGTGACCTCCATCAGATCTATCTGTAATAGCACCTTGGGACTGTGGCTAAAACCAGAAGGCTCCAGTGTTTCTATGTATCTCAAGTTGGGGTGTGGGGATGAACTGGAAAACTCCCGGAGGCATAAGTTGGCCAAATTTTGAGACAGAGTATGGGAGACAATTCCAGAAATTAATTGTGTGTGTGTTTGTCTAATGATATTCAGCCTGGAGTTCTGTGATTTAAATATATAATAATAAAGAATATTTTTTTAATTTGGAAAGACATTGTTAGAATTTGCTTGTAATTCCTATCCTTAAGATGGTTTTGGAGAGCCTCTGGCTATAAAAACAAAACAAAAAAGTTATCTATCATAGGTTCAATCTGGCTGGTTCTACGAGGGTATCTTCTCTCACTGATAGATGCATCTCTCCCCAGAGGCCCACTGGGTCAAAGTGGATGACCTTTCCCAGACACACTGTTGATTGGGTGTAGGTCAAGCATGTCAGACTACGGCCCGCAGGCCGCATGCCTTGTTTATTTGGCTCGTGTTCGCCTTTGAGTTTGACATGCTTGTGTAGGTAGTACCTGTGCTGTCCTGCCTGGTTCCTGGAGCCACTTCTTTAACACTCTGCTGCAACCTCGAAAAGGGGAGATTTTGCCTCCAGCGTCACCTGTGTCACCTCAACTTCCTACTGCTTCTGAAGGACTCCTCTGGACCCCACATCACAGCATATGTAGAGCTTTTGGAAACCACATGTATTTTTGCAGTAGTTTAAGCGACCCGAGGGTCCACATTTTAAATGTTCTGTAACTCAGCTTTTAGGTGTCAGGGGCCTCTCTGCTGAATCTCTGAGTTCGAAGCTCCAGCCTTTTCAGCTGCTCTGTGCTGATTTCCTCCGGCCGCGGCCTCTGCCTGTGAGCTGGGGAGTTTTCCCTCAGGTCTCGGTCCCAGAGAAAGCAGGGATCTTTTCTTTTGAGAACATTGGTTCAGTGTCAACAGGTCAGACTCTTGGCACTGAAGTCATTTAATTTCTTGCTGTTGGCATGTTTCCGTAACTTCCTATCGGAAAATTCCAAATTAGTGGTATTTTATAAGTTGTGCCCTTGATCACATTTGTACATCCTGAGGATTTCTCTTTCCAGCTGTCTCCAGTTTCTGTATTCTGTTACATCTGCATGCAGGTGAGGTTCACTTTGTCATTTATTTCACAAACTGCTCTGTTATATTCCTGTAGCTTTAGAATTCGTTTCTTATACGCCTTTGTGGATCTAGATCACAGTCTTTGGGCAAGAGAGCTTTGTCATAGTGCTCGGGCCGTTTACCAACATGGAAGGTCTGTGTGTTAGCAGGCAGCCATAGGCTGTAGTCGAACCCTTGCAATATCTTCTGTTATATTGTTTTAACTTTTTGAAGCATGGGTTTGGTGAGCCTTTTTTTTTTTTTACTGTTTAGTGCCAATGGTTTTCCCCACTCAGGAAGGAAGGGGGGCCACGCATACAGCAAGATGAGAAAGGGAGAGTTCCACTGTGGCCTCCAGTTTAAAAACAGCTCTTCCTCCCATGGTCCCATCTGTCCGAGAGGGGACGCTCGTTTTCCAGGCTGGAACAGGTTATGGGAAAAACTGAGCAGGACGGAGAAATGAACACTTGCCCAGCCTTCCTGAGCTGTGAGATTGAAGCCTTCTCTTTCTGTTTGGTTGGAAGCGCGTGTGCACTGCGTGTGACAATCCCATACTCAGAATGGTCTTAGAAGAATGAGCACATGACCTTTTGATTTTAAAGTAGATTGTGAAGCATTCAAACTGTAAGAGAAAAATTAAAAACTTAAAGTCCAAGCTAAATGGATGTGAAGGCGCAGAAACGAGGATAGCACTGCTGGCTCCCGACAGGCTCACATTCCAGCGTCACGAAGTGGGAGCTCTTCTCTGCCGGACACGTGGGCCTCACCTGGAGCAAGAGACTTGATGTGCATTGTGTCATTTCACAAGTGAGATGGTGCCACCTGCCTATTTACCATGTCCTGGATGAGTGATATGTAAAATGCAATAAAGCTTATAGTTTGAGTAGAACAAAGTGTGTGTGTGTGTGTGGGTTTTCACCTTTCTCCTCCAAGACTCAGTCTCAGGGATGTGCAAGTAGGGAGGAGGAGGTTCTCGGCTGCCTGACATGATACCTTCAAACTGAGCTTTGCTTCTTTGAAGGAGAAGATGCAATTAGTAAAGCGAAGATTGCCCAGGGATTCCAGGAAGAGAACCATGGAACCTGGAGCGCAAGGGTCAGGATTTGAAGTTTACAGTTTAACCCCGCCCCAGGTTCTGCCTGAGGTCTTCACCAGGGTGAGGCTGCCAACATGAGGACTTGTTGTAATGGTGCCATTGGTGAAGGTAGTGGCTCCAGACCTGTGTTCTGTTAATACATTCACCCCTTCTGTGGTAGCGCGTACTCTAACGTCACTCAGAGAGGTATTGGGGTAGAGAGAGCCACGGAAACATTCTCCCAGCTGTAAAGGCATATTTGAATTATTAAATATTTATTAGTCGGCATTTGGATTATATTTCTCACTAATCAGGGCAGTCAATACGTGCATCCTTTTGGTTTTAATGGCCTTAGCTACCAGAATTCTGGGATTTAAGGTTTTGAGTAAATTATTCTACATGGGGAATATAGGTTGAAACCAGACTTTTCATATGGAAAAATGTAGAGATGCATAAGTATACTTACTGGACTCAGGAGTATACTGAAAATACAAATGCCTATCAAATGCCATGTATTAACTAACTATGGTTTATCGTTAGAATGTGTGCACCTCTTTTTTTGTCTCATTTGTTTGCTTCATTTGTCTTTCTGATTTCATGGTTGTAGCAGTTATTGGAGGAACTCTGAGCTTTTTACCGTAGTGGTTGTGACTATAGTTCGGCACTGTAGCCAAATGAAATAAGAAACAAGTCTCTCTGGAAAAAAAAAATCAATGGAAAAAAATATCCTCGGTCGGGTGAGGACTGACAGAAAAAGAAAAGAAACAGGTCTGTGCCCTCTGCTGTTGGCATGCACTGATTGGCGCTGACTTGGCATTTTCTGCCTTTGTGGACAGCCAGGGAATGGAGGCCAAGGGAAATGAATGCTCACCCTAGAAGTCTGTGTAGCTTTTGCTAGTTTCCAAACCTGGTGAGTGGGTGTCAATATTTAGGGCTGAAAAAAAGAAGGAATTCTCCCGAGTCAGTATTGTTTTTCATTCCCACATCAACCCCATCCTGTAACCACGCAGTAAAAATATGAGACGAATGGCCTGACATTTCACATCCTGCCTAGATGAGGCCTTAGCTGCCTGCGCTCTGGCTGGTGTTTTGGTTTCTGCCTCAGCAGTTTGCCTTGCATAGAGAAGACTAACATTTGCTTATCGTCTCTGGGACATGCTTTTGAGAGAAGGATCTTTCGGGTGCTACAGGCTGTTCTCTTGATCTTGAACCATTTTCATTCTGGTCAAATTCAGGGTCAACAGGTCATAATTATGGACTGAAAAAGGTAAAGAAAAATATTAGAGGCAGTGCCCTTTTACCTAGCTCAGCCTTGCCAGAATTCTCTTCAGCTGTGAAGCCCTTAACTTCATTATAACACATTCCTCCAAAACTGAAATTTTTTTAAAAATATATTTTTTTGATTTCAGAGAGGAAGTGAGCGAGAGAGAGAGAGAGAGAAACATCAATTACCACAGTCATTGATGACTGCCCCTGCACGTCCCCAACTGGGGATCAAGCCAGCAACCCAGGCATGTGCCCTGACCAGGAATTGAACCATGACCTCCTGTTTCATGAATGGACGCTCAACCACTGAGCCACCCCAGCCGGGCCTGAAATTTTTATTTTATGGTTAATGTACTCAGCATCAGTGAGGCTTACATAACTTTTTTCAAAATTAGAATTGCTTTAAGTGTCTTTAGAAAGAGGTGGAAGGTCTGAAATAGAGTTTAAATTTGGTTACAGAAAAAGCTTTACTCTGGTGCCAATGGTTAGAAGACATTCCCCTTTTCAACAAGAAGGGAGAAGGTGGTCCATGTTCCTGCCCCGCACGTCCAAAGGGAAGCCCCTCCCACTTGGTCCCTCTTCTGCTGGTGGAAAGCAGTATGCTGCCACATTTAAAACCAGCTATGGAGCCCAGCCGCCTTGGCTCAGTGGTTGATCATTGACCTATGAACCAGGAGGTCACAGTAGGATTTCCGGTCAGGGCACATGCCCAGGTTACCGTCTCAATCCCCAGTGAGGGGTGTGCAGGAGGCAGCTGATCAATGATTCTCATAGATGTTTCTATCTATTCCTCTCCCTTCCTCTCTCGGGTCAATAAAAATATATTTAATAAATAAACCCTACTTCAAAGAAGAAAAGGGTGATGAGTGTTTACAGCTTCCCTTCTTGGAGGTGACACTATTACTAGTTGTTTGTTTGATTAAAGACAGCAGTTCTAGATCAGGACTCAGTGAGCCTGGGGATGTACCAGTGACTCAGCTAAGGAATGAGAGGGGAGGGGCTTCTCTCTGCCTTTGCATCCTGGGGCATTTAACCCAAGAGAAAATGCCCAGCCACTTCCCAGACATCATACCTGGCTGCTGGGGCGTAGGGAAAGGTGATGAGTTCAGAAATGGAGAGGAACAAGAGCGTTAGGAGTGCCGTGGTGTCCCCACCCTACACAACCTCTGCTTGTGCACCAAGTCGCAGGACAGGTTGTCTCTGAGTAAGCTCCTGTGTTCCAGTTAAAAGCTGGCTTCAGTGGAGAATGATCCAGGGACAGGAAGAAGGCCACTTGCTTTCATCTGTGTGTGCTTCAGGGTGGGGCTGGAGGTGGTGGGAACAGGACTGGCCTCGGGCAACTGAAGATGTCACCGCCCCAACTTCCCTTTGATTCTCTCTCCCACCCCCAGTCTGCTCCCTTAGCTACCCAGTGTCCTGGTACATCTTCTTACCGGGTCAGAAGGATGGGAGGAAAGATCTAGTGTGGGTGAGGCTGCACACAGTAGAAGGAAGCAAAGGTAGCCATATACCTTTCCACCCCTGGATTTTACTTTCAGGAGCGTGGATTTTAGAGTACAACTCAGCTGCTTTTTGTCTGACTTAGACAAGTCACTGGTCCCCTCCATCTTCCTTGTGCCCACTGGAAAATGTAGAATAGGACTCGATCAAGTATTATAAATCCCAGTGCTGTAGGATCAGGCAGGTTAGGGACATGAGGGCTGGTGAGGCAAGGTGAGCAAGTGTGCGCCTACACCCTGCATGAGCTCCTACCTCTGCTAAGGAGAACAGCTGCTCCTCTACTCTGACTAAGGATTGCCATGGGGAGATACAGTGTAAAGGGAAACCAATGAGTTACCAATTCATTGATGGGCTGAACTTGATAGGGCAAGGAAAAAAGATGGCTTTTTCCCCAGTCACTTTCTTCAATACTCTGATTTCCCTTCCCAACCCTTTAATGGCATCTTGGATGAATAGGCTAGATTCTGTGACTTTCTGATCACTTCTCAATACAGGAACAGTTCCATTTTAAAATGATAACTTCCTTGTACATATTAAAAGTTCCAGTTTCGGCCTGCCTGCGTCAACCTACGAATCAGAAGGTCACATCCAGGTCACATTCCAGGTCTGGTCACATACCTGGATCCCCAGAGTGGGGCATGCAGGAGGCACCTGGTCAATTATTCTCTCTCATCATTGACGTTTCTATCTCTCTCTGCCTCTCCCTTCCTCTCTGAAATCAATAAAACTATATATCTGTATATTTTTTAAAAGTCCCAGTCTAATTTAAATCACACTTGAAATCACAAATATAATTCAACACATCAACCCACCTTCTGTCTCAGGTCTGATTCTTCACTCTGCCTCTTCCAACGCAGCCTCCATTCCCACTCCCCACCCCTTTCCCCGGCAGCTGGCTTCTCCCAAAGTGGGCAGAGGCTAGAAAGGTAGATTTAAGGAAAGTCACCGCTTAATCCTCCACATGGGCCAAGGGTAGGGTCTTTTGTGACAGGCACCATTGTAATCTGGTTATTGGTGTGTCTTGCAACTAGAACATGGATGTACTCAACTACTTACCACTCTCAGCTTTGAGACTTCTGATATCCAGTAGCAAATTACATTAGAAACCTGATTTTTAAGTCAAATTTCCCAATTTGTATGTTAGGTCAAAATAATTTAACATTGCTGGACCAAACCAGGTCTGCCTGTGGGCTGTCCGTTGCCCATGAGCTATCAGTTTGCGGGCTTTGGGTTAGAACCAGTACCACGGTTTCTTGCAGCCCTCATTGTCTGTGAATTTATGATTTTCCTATATTTAGCAAGATCCACTGGAAGTCATCCAAGCTTTACCCTTTTAGGCAGCTCCCGTGCACACACCCCGGGGGATTCTGGGTGGCAACGGCGTCCTGGAAATGTATTATCCTGAGCGCACACCACCAGTGTCCTGGAGCAACCAGAGATGAAGGGAAGGGCCAGCAGGTGGCAGGAGAGAGTAGCACGGGTCTCAGCTTCCATGTCCCGGGTGAGTCTGTGTTGTGTTCTTGCAGTTGGACGGGAGGTTGAACCCAGGACCTGGTCCCCACTCTGGTACCAAGAATCTTAAAGCTCATCTAGAGAAGCTCCACTTCTGGGGTGGGAGATGGGCTTCAAAGCTCTTTGCCACGGAAATCTGAGGTAGACAATGCCTGAGCCTTCTTGACCAATGCCATGTAATTGTAAAAGAAAGTGGCTGTCAAAATCTAATGCTTATATCTAAAATCAAATCTCTTTTGTATCAGATTCTAGCTTTCCTTCGCAGGCATAAGGCACAGGTTTTGTAGAAATGTCAAATTTCATAGAATCATAGCCTGTGGAGGTCAGAAGGGACCGGAGAGGTGGTCTAAACCAAGCATACACTTCTGTTCCCTTTACAACATCCTGGAGCAGAATTCCTCCAGTCGCAGCATGAATGCTTCTAAAGATGGGAAGCTCGTTACTTTATAAAGCCATTCAGCCACGAGAAAGTTACTTTACTGAGCCGGTATCAGCCCTGCAGTGACTTCTGCCCATTATTTTGTCTTCTGGAGTCA